TGTCTTCAAGGTTTAAATGTGTCAGCTGGGCTCCTGCTATTTTCTTTCAGCTTAACTACACCAGGATCATGTTTGAGTTAACTTTCCTTTTTTCAAAATGGCCTGCCACATTGCTGCAACAAAATTCTTCCCCTGCATTTACCCATGGCTTAATGAAAACTTTAATCCCCACTAAAACTGGATTAAGCTCCCTATGGATTGACTTTGCACAGAGCAGTGCAGAGCTCACTGTGCCAGACAAAGGCTGACCCTCCTCGTGGCATCACAGGGCACCGGAATGAACCTGCCCCTCTACATGTGTGCCTATAGGGCACCTGAGCCTCTCCAGACCTTCCGCACCAGTAACTTCATTTCACCCCTGTGTCAAGCTGGGATCAGCACTTTAGCAGATGACATGCTGCTGGAATACCTGCCTGCAGGAACACTGTCTCTGCTGGCCTGGGCAGGCAGCACTGCACTAATGGAGTTCCTGCATCTCTTTACCCCTGTGAAAGTTGACAAAGGTGCTGGTAACCAGTCAAAGAACAACTGGCTCAAACAGAGTTGGGTTACATATACAAAGGGATGTGCATGGCAGAGCAAAAGGCCAGAAATGTCACTTTAGGGAATTTATCTGAAACCATAACGAAGCAAATTGTTTCTTGTAGTGTTAACAAAAAGCTGAGGGTGAAGCACAGTGACACGTCCCTTGTGTGGAGCATGAAGAGGATCTGTGTCAGCAATTTGTTCTGGACCTGAGATTGATGCGAAGGCTGGACAGCAGTTTTTAGGGTCCAACCCCTCAAATCATGACTCTGCCTGATTACCCATGTGTGTTGCAGTGCAGAATAAAAAGAGCGTAAGGGTGCAGAGCCACAGGGCATAGCAGCAGAGCTGCAGCTCTGAGTGCTTGTCCCTCGCACACTGCAGTGCAGAGCGAGCTGGTACGAGCTCTGCTGTGTGAGCCTTGTTGCTTTCATCACGTGGGCCATGTGCAGAAGCACAGCCCTCACAAGCACCTGTGCACTGTACTGGATTTTCTAGAAAAGGAAATTTCTCTGGCTTTCCATCAAGGTTTCTTTTAATTCCTTTGACTCCTACAGGCTGCTCAACAACTTCAGCAGTTCTCATTGGCACACTTAAAAAGGCCTTCCAGATGCACCAGCTCAACTGAGTGGAACAGATTTCCCTCCAATTCAGTTATGACACACTAAATTCACAGAGATATGCTCACTTCCCCCTGTGAAGGAAAGTCAAATGCATGACCTCCCAAACAACTTGTCAGCTGAGGATTTCAATAAGGTTAAAGACAAGACAAACTCCTACTAGTTTGGAATATTGCATTATTTATTACATTTTTACTGGGTTTATGCTGAACTGAAACGTAGGCAAAAGGACATTTTAACTTTTTTTTTTTAATTTTTCTTAATTTTTTTACCATTAGTTTAAAACAATAAAGAATAATCTGTTCCTGACTGACAGAAGTAGATAAGCAGAAGTGTTTAGGCAACAGCTGTCTCAACCCACGAGACAAAACACCTCTCAAGTGTCTGAATCTTCATTTGCCAGTGTTTGCTGTGCACAGACCTTCACTAGAGTGATCGACATCAGGACATTTTCTTATGGAAGTTGGAAAAAAAGAGAAGCCTTCCCTTACACCTCTGTTCTCTCCAAATCTGGCTAGCATTGAAAGCACCAGAAAGTGCAGTTATTCTAACAGGATGGATGGTCTGTGGGTAGCTGGAGTAAGCATTAGGGATGGGAGGGAGGTCCAGTCCAGGCTGGCTATCAGATCAACAGCTGCTGCAGACTTCAATTTCCTTTTATAGAAGGGAGACTGTGGGAACTGCTGCTCTCCATAGCCCGTGGAGTCTTTGGCTTAAAGAACTGCCCCCTGGGGAACAGACACTGTGTAACATCTCAAATGCCGGCCTAAGTGTTTTGCTCAGGTTTCCATTGCAGGCAAAAGCAGAGTGCTTGTGTTCACACAAGGACTGTGAAGCCTCTCTGTTCTGTGGCTCCTGGACCACGACCTGGAGTCACAGGAGGTGAGAAAGCCTGCAACAGTCCCGAGGAAATATAGGCAGATGGTAAGGGAAATGCAGAGTTAAAGTTGTCCAGGGGCAGAAGGAGAAATGTGCTGGGAGCCTATCTGCTGCTGTGCATGGGATCCCATGAGACAAGTGTTCAGGCTCCGGTGCCTGCCTGCGTCCTGTGCTGGTGGCCACTGAACACAAGAGCACACTGGCAGCTGCTACAGGGCTGGGGAACAGCTCTCCCACCGATAGCTGTCATTCCAAGCTCATACTCAGAGCTGGCAACACTCCTCAGGGGCAGAGGGTGCATCTTGGGCAGGTAAACATGTGTCTCTGCTGTTCCCTCATTCCTGTCTTTAATAAAGGCTAGGATAATCCAGGGGTGGCAGAAGGGAAGAAGACAAGACTTGGCTTATGGCCAGGGAAGCTCACTTTGTTAACACGGTTAGCACCTTTCCTGTAGATGCCAACTACCACAGTCCTCACTTGTACCAGCAGCTCCTCATTCTGTAGAAGGAAGTTGCTTGAGGCCGGAGTTTTTTTATGCTGAAAAAAGATATCAAGGCATGGAGCCATTAGAAAAGTTTGGTGGTAGTGGTAGTTTGCACGGTCTATGGAGGAAGCTATCTATAGCAACTGGGAAGTCACAGGGGGCACATTTTATCTGTGCTCTGCAGACTCACTCTGGCCATACACAGGGAGTTATATATAGAGCCATATACAAAAATATATACAAGAGCCCTGTGCCTCTCTTGGAAAGCCTCATCAACACACCTCCCTAGCAGACTCCCCTCCTCAGCCTCACTGGAGAACTGCATAATTCAGAGGATACTTTGGAAGGATGCTGGACAGGCAGCACCTCCTGAGGACAGCTGATCTGTCAAGTACGAGCATACAGACCAGGGTGCAAATATAACCAATCTGTCTAAGACTTACCATTTTCTCAGAAGTATTTCTGTGCTATTTATAGAAACATTCCCCCCGTCCCACTTCCCATCTATGTGCCTCACAGACTGGTTCTGTGTTAAACTGACCCACCAGCAAAACTTTCCTTAATTTAAGAATTTAAAGGCGGGGGAGGGGGTGGGTGGGTGGGTGTGGTTGTGTTGAGTGCTGTGGGGAGTGGTGTTAAAAATATTAAAATATTAGAGTGGAACTAAAGAACTGCAAGAAACAGTCCAGTAGTCACCAGGGCCCACCAAAGAGCCCCAAGGCAGGACAAACAAACCGTCCCTATGCCATTCCCAACAGTTGTTAGTCTGACCTGCTGTGAAAGAGCCCCCATGACAAATGTTCCCTGCACAATATGTTTAGACATATGATGCCTTTCCATATAATTCTTCTCCACAATGAGTCTGAATTTAAAGAAGGCTTTAAGGCATATAATAAGCAGTATGAAGGTTGACAAAGATTAAAATTCTGCAAAATGAGCCTATTTTAGTAAGGCATGGCCATAATTTGAAGAGGGTTGTTAAATGAAGTCTCCTGGATAGCACAACAGAAAATAAATATAGCTCTGTGCTTAGGGAAACCTTAAAATTAGCCAAAGACAGCATGCAATTTCAACAGCAATCTTGCATATTTAGCTTTCTAGGCACTGTAAGCATCACTCCTATCCTACAAGCACTCAGGAAGGCTGATGAACAACAGAGAATTTGCCTTGACTTCTATTCTGTCATTTCAAATTATCCTTTTGCAGATTTCACATAAAAGGATAAGGTGGGATCCTCCCTCCCAGAGTGAGGTAGAGCCTTTGTCCTAAAGGGAACAAAGAGAACATGGGGATAGTTTTGAATGGGAATCTGGGGATGCTGTAGAAGCAGTCTCACGAAGGCCTCTATGCTCTCTCAGATTGTGAACATGCAGGGCAGTTGACTGCATGGTGCACACACTGCTCCTGGTCCTTGTACCAGAGCCTGGTTATCACCTTTGTTACAAGTTACCATGGAAGCTACCTTCACAAGCATACCTGACTAAATCTGTCACAACAGAGCTGCCACATGAATATCTCCCTCCTTACATTTGTGAGTTTAATATAAAAAACCTAATCTGGTAAGTTGAAAACTCCTTACTTACCCACAAACACTTCCTCTCCCATGCACATTTCTAAATTCTTGAAGTGAGAGGTTGCAGATGGTTCTCAAAAAGATTTTCTCTTCCTTGATGAACTTCCCGTTTTAATTGTGAGTCAGGACTGTTTCCTTCCTCAGAATCCAACTTGTTCTCCAGTAATAATGGCCAATTCTGTCCTGTCCCATTCCCAAGTACAGAGCCTGTACCTACACACAGATATTTTAAAGGATGCCAGTCTCACTGTGGTGAAAGGCAAGATCATGGAGCAGATCTCCTAAAAACTAGGCTAAGATAAAAACATTGATTTCTTATGACTTCACTACAGGCCAATTGTGCCTGATAATTTTGGTGGCCTTCTAAAAAGGGCTTACACTAGTTGATGTGGGAAGAGCAACTGATACCACATACCTGGATTTATGCCTCTGACACTATCCCACATGACATCCCTAATTGGAGAGGGTGGACCACTTGATGGGTAAGGAATGGGCTGGATGGTCTCACTCAGTAGAGTTGTGGTCAACAGCTCAATGTCCCAGTAGTGATGAGTGGACCCTTGTCAGGGGTCAGTGTTGGGACTGGCACTGTTTAACATCCTTGTGGGCAACACGGACAGTGGGATTGACTGCACCAAGCTGAGTGGTGCTGACAAGATGCTGGAGGGATGTCATCCAGGTGCCTGCACAGGCTTGAGAGGTGGGCCTTGCAAACATCATGAAGTTCAACAAGGCCAAGTGCAGGGTCTTCTCCTGGGTCAAGGCAATCCCAAGCACAAGTACAGGCTTGGTGAAGAATGGATTGGGAGTAGTCCAGCCAGGAAGGACTTGGGGTTGCAAGTAGAGGAGAGGCTGGACATGACTCAGCAATGTGCACTTGCAGCCCAGAAAACCAATCACGTCCTGGGCCATATCAAAAGCAGCATGGCCAGCAGATTGAGGGAGGTGATTCTGCCTCTACTCCACTCTGGTGAGACCTCATCTGGAGCACTGTGTCCAGCTCTGGGATACCCAGCATATGAAGGACACAGACCTGTTGGAGCAGGTACAAAGGAGGGCCACAAAACTGATCTGAGGGCTGGAACATCCCTCCTATGAAGGGAGATGTTCAGCCTGGGAAGGACAAGGTTCCAGGGAGACCTTATAGCACCTTCCAGGACCTGAAGGGATCCACAAGAAAGCTGGAGACATTTGACATGGGCATGTAGTAACAGGACACTGGGTAGTAATCACATGTTTTGCTTTTTCTAGCGACATTTAAGCTTCACAGTTCCCATTTAAGTTTTAGCTGCATTTGGACAAATGCATTTTAAGAGAGATTTTAGGTCATGGACTTCTTATCTGTGAAACTGTTGTCCATTGATTTATTGTTTAGCATTTTTCTAGTCAGAAGACATGATAAACCACAAAAATGGTAGAGGCAATTCAATACACAGTCAGAACCAAAATGTCTGCGCCACAGGAACATTCCATGTTCACCATTTGTTTGCCTGACATCAGCTGGGGCATTAAAAATGTCAAATCATGCATAGAACATTGGTTATTAATACAGATTTTTCATCAAGTTAATAAGATTGAAGATTTCAAACCAATTAAAGTAATCACATAGAGTGGGGTGAAGGCATACACATTTTGTTGGCTTCAATCAAACTTTGGGAGTTAATGCAAAACAAATATGCCTCATGCAATCTTTAGAAAATGATAACTCTGTTGTCGACATTAAGCCTGAAAGATGCTGTTCTTTACTTGGGGAAAAAGCAAAAAGTTGCAGAGTAACTGTGGGCCAAGGAGATTGAAATGTAAAATCCATGTAAACAACCCAAAATAGCTTACAAATACAGAAAACAAAGCAAGAAATATCAGCTGCTTTTTGAAGCAGAACACTCTTAAATCACTTGCTGGGAGAATTGAAATTCTTGTTCACATAATGTGATTTTTCACTGTTAGCCCTTATTTCTGCTTCTCTGATGTTGCTCACAGATGAGAAGCTGGTCACAGACAAGGAAACTCAGGAACCACAATTTTGAATTTTGCAAGTATGGATTTGCCCCACAATAATCAAGTACATAATTCCTCATGAAGCTAAGCAAGAATCAATATTTGGGTTGTTTCCCAGCACATACTAAGAGTATCTTATTCAACTCTTCTGAAATTCAAAGCTACTTCCTCTAACAGGGTATGTAGTAAATGCTAAAAAACTCGTAGATGGTTCACCATGGAAGCAAAGACAATGGTAGGTATGGGTAGCTACAATTACATCTCATCTTTGTAACTACATGTTCCACCTCACTCTATCATGATTTAACTTGTGGCCACCACCTGATATCAAGACAAACAAATACCATGCTATTTTGAACAATTTTACTCCAAGATTTTTTTTGTTTCATTTTAAATGGGTTTTCAGCTATGGTGGCCCCTGTGACCTGAGAGTCTTCTGTTCAGGGAAGCTACTTCAGCCCCTGCTGACCAACATCCCACTAAGCCTCCCCAGAAAAACAGGATTCCCAGATGAACTGTTGTAGTGAGCCCCCAGTCTGATAGGTCCCCTCTTTTAGGTATCTTACTTTTTATTTTTATTTGTAGCTGAGCTTCTGAGCATCTCAGTATGTGGGAAACAAAACCAATTCCCAAGCTCTGTGTTCCTCCTTTGCCCTTCTTTAGTTTTCTCTTGCCTACACTCTTCCTATATCCCAATTTTCAATTATCTTACTCTGCACCAGTTATACTCAAGCACCTCATTCCCCCTCCGCAGTGCCAGCCCCACAGTTCTCTTGGTTTCACTGCTCCCAACTTCTTAGTTTTTACAGCCATGTAGTACCTCCTCTCCCAAGGGAAGTGCCTGCTGGCACATGCCCAAATGACATATTTTACCACCCCCTGCTCCTCCTCTGCTTTTCCAAGCAGTTCACTTGCACTACTAATGTTCCCAATGCTGCCATGCAAATTAATCTGCTATAGAAATAAAACCAATATATTTAGGTAGGAAGGCTGCAACAGGGTTGGACACTGGGATTGTTCTGGTAGCCTAAAGATGCCTATTGGATCTCTCTGACACAAGTGTGACAGAAGCTATGTTACCCTTTTCCCTTGCCTTGCATTGCAAAATCAGGACAATGGTTATTCCTGAAGGTTGTTTTGCTGACCAAAAGGGTCTATGTCCTGTCTCTTTGGGCTCAGCAGTGGCAAATGGCGTACTTAAACTCTTTTCATAAGTCTTCATTTGCCTGTGTTTGGAAGTCCTTTACAAAAAAGAATGTGCCCCAACAACTCGCAAGCAGAAAGACATCCTGGTGTCTACTGAACACTGGAAATGCACAAACTGACTGGCCAAAAATGCATTAGCTGCAAGGTTACTTGCTTCAGTTCTAAACAGCACTTCAAGCACACAAAGTAAAGCACCACTACTAAAGCAGCTGAGGATGTTCAACACCACTCTAACCGTACACCAGTGCTGTGTACTTTAAAGTCCAATGTTTCACTCTTTACACAGAATGGTTAAGAAACTTGGTATTACTTGAGACTGAGAGAGAAATATATATGAAAAAATCACCAGAGTGCAGTTGTACAGTTTTAATGTATTGCAAAGGCTTGTCTTTGGAAACAGGTTCTAATGCTACTCTTGCACACAGGTACACTTCCAAAAGTGCTTAAGTATCTCTTATTGACACACATCAATATGTCACACTCTTCTTGAATTTCACATGAAGAAACTATTTCAGATGAAAATTCTTTGTTTGGCTAACAATCCACTGCAACTGTGTAAAAGCTACTCAGAAGAGTTATGAAATCCATTTAGTAAGGCCACACAACGTTAAAAGTCCAGTATATTGAATAAAATAATTTTATTTTTAATTAATTCATTTGTTTTTTAAAAGAAAGTTTATGGAATCTGAAAGTTTATGATAAAAGGTAACTTTTAACTGAGACTTAATATAGGAGATTCTCTAGCTAAAATATGTCAAATAGTAAAATCATAAAGAACTAAAAGGTTCTGTGCTATACTGCATGATATGTAAACAGATTTTGAAAATATGTCCCCATTATATATTTTGACACAGTATGCACAAATTTAAAAAAATAAACTTGAAATGAAGTTTAAACGCCTCAAGGGATTTCCTAGAAGTAAAGCCATTTGAAAAGCCATTTACAGTCTGCGGTGACAAACTTCTATATAATCAAAATATCTCCTTTTTCCACAATGCAGAATAACCTGCTGAAGGCAACTCCCTACTGAAGTGGTGCCAGCAACACAGATCTGATTGTATGACTCCAGCACTTAAAAGAGCACATTGGTTATACATGGCTTTTAACCCTGGGCTACAATTATGCTACCAGAACTAAATTCAAGTCTAAATCAGTCACATAAAGAGGTGTGTGTCGTCTGAACACTGTTTAAAGTCCGTGTTTTCCAGATCTGATGAAGGTGGTGAAGGCGCTCTGAGGTTCTTGTGCTTACATTCAGGGCAGGATGAACTTTGCGAATACCAGATTCTCCAATTAATGACAAACCACAGATCCCAAAGTAGGCATGTAAAGCATCTGAAAGGATAGAAAAGGAAAAATAAAATTATCTCAGGCTGTAACAGCCACATGTTCCTATTCAAACACCCCTGAATAATTACATCTAAGGAAAACAATCAGGTGCTATATTTTAAATATGAATTTTGACAGAAGGAATCAGGTTCTGCCCAAAGCCACCAGCATGAACTAGTGTCTAGTTTTGTCTTGTAACTACTTGCACACTACTTTACTTTTTCTGAGTGCCACGGCCAAAGAATTTAAGCATCTGGAAACAACTTTGGTCCAGAAAACAAATTTTTTTTCATGGAAGTGTTTTTGGCTGATAATTTTATGAACAGCTGAACTATTATGAACCACTGAAACACCAAAACTAGTGCCAGTAGCTGCCAACAGCAAGATTTAGAGGAATGAAAGAAGTAATTACTTTTCCCAGGTTCACCCCTTCCTGAGAGAATACCCTAAGGGTAGTAATTCATGCAGCTTGATCAACAGACAACTGCCACCATTTCTCATCCCACGTTGCTCCTGCTGCACACCTTACACCGGCACTACAGCTTGCCGAGTCTGCCTCCTCTGGGTAGCAGCAAGCTGTTAGATTGGATTATCAGCCCATGGAATCATAGGCTAAAGATGGAAAGAGGATGTGAAGTTCATGCGCCCCCTGCAAATTCTCGACATGCAATAATCTGTGGAGGTGTCACTGAATTCATATTTGACTAAAACGATCACAGAATCATTTAGGAAAAGACCTCTAAGATCAGAGTCCAAGCCTTAACCTACCACTGCCAAGTCCAGCACTAACCCACGTCCCTAAGTGCCAAATCTACACATATTTTAAAAACCTCCGGGGATGGTGACTCCACCCTTTCCCTGGGCAGCCTGTTCCAGTGCTTAACAACCCTTGCAGTGAAGAAATTGAACTATACCTCCCTCTTTCCACTTCAATCATGAAAATCTTATTATATTTTGAGGGGTTTTTTTTCCTTTATATTTTGTTGTTGTTGAAGGAGACAACTTCCTTTATGCCTCTCAGACGTCTGACTGCTGGAATGTATTTCTAGCTTAGAACATACTCATCATAATACTGAAAAGTAATTTTACCTGGATGGCTATCTGGCCACTTGGCAAATCCACCAACAAGGCGATCTTGAGTTGACAGGATGTAATTTCGGTTTTTCTCAAAATTTGTATATTGGAATATGTTCAAGAGCTGAAAAGAAATTAGACCATAACAGTAATATACTAAATCCTAGTATAAAAAATCCTTTTTAATACTAAAATATAGCGCTTATTTTAGAGGTCAGCAGTGATAGCAGAGAAAGCAGTAATTTGGTAAACCTTTCATCTTGCCTTTTTGCAAGATGAAAGACCTTTACAGCCCTCAGTGCATTGGTGTTAAACATCTAACTCTTTCAAGTAGAGAAAATGATGCTTAAAGAAATCAAAACAAGTCAATAATCATCCTGTAGCTATTCTGTACACTACCTTCAATGTTGCTCCCACCCAGAAGGAATAGCAAGTGTCTACAGGTTTGTTGGGTCGTCCATGGTAGCCATTCTGTTGTCTCATTATACACCACCTTCTTATTCTGTTCAGTTCTTTTTCTGAGAAAACTTCTTCCAGTTTACCCATCAAACACAGCGATGCAATACCACAAAATGTAGAGCCACCTGTGAGAAGAGAATCTGGTATTTGCAATGCTTTGATACCCAGATTTTCACCAAAGCCTGTATGATCTCAGTCAGAACTTTAACTAAGGTGTTAATAATTAAATCAATGGATTTTTAGGAGTATGAAAATGTTAATTTTAAGTCTAAAATCCAAATAGATAGGAACACTTTAGTTCAGCAGGTACGCCAAAGAGGAAAAAATGCCCTCAACACAGCTCTAGCACAAATAAACCTGAATTAATTTTCTTAAAGCTGTTTTCACTCAATGCTGTGCAATTTACACTACACAGCAGTCCAGAAATAAGTAAATTGCATTGCAACAGAAACATTTCTTCATATGTAACTTAAAAAAGAAAGCTATTGGGATGCCAGCAATCAGAGTGAAGCAGAGATGCCAAAGTCAGTCTCAGACACAATCTCCCAGAAGACATAAACAGACAGAAGTGTCTGGTAAGCAGAAACTAAAAAAAAATTAAAGAGCATAGTTAATACTGTGAAAAGACTTCTGGACTCTCATATTTGTAATATTTATAAATTGTGCTTCTACCATAAACAAGCTGTTGACAGATGACCTGGGGCCCAAAGTTCCTCACACTGTCCTGGTCCTGGAAGACCCCAGGAGCTCTAAGGTTATGCTCATTCTGATGCAACAGAAGGCTCCTGAAGTAACGCTATCTGTTATCATTAGCACTCTACAGAAACTTAGTTAACTAATTGTTTTAATATGTAGGGATATAATTTAAGTTTTTCATCAGAAATTCTGCAGGAAGAAAACAGATGAATCCAATCAAAGCTCAATAATGATAAAGATAGTAAACATCTGATAGAATCATAGAATCATGCAGATTGGAAAAGACCTCCAAATAACTGAGTCCAACTTTTGACCAATCCCCACCTAGTCAAATAGACCACAGCACTAGATTTAGTATCACTTATATAAAAGTCAATAGTTTCTCTGTCACAAGCAGACCACTACTTCATGGAATAGAAACATTTTGCTAAAAAACAGCAGTCTCTTATGGATTCTTACCTTCAGAACTACCAACTGTCTTCAAAAACTAACTGCTGCTTCAAGATTTGAGCTGACAACAGATTCTGTGATCTATGAGAGAAAATGTTTCTAGATTTTACTAATAGCTGTTGAAACTGGAGATCATCAGGTGCATTGCACAAAATCTCTTGCAGATAAAATCCACAGAGTAGCAATGGCATGTGTGGAAAAAGTTTGCTCTGTCAGCAAGAGATAAGAACTACAGCCAACACCTTTCAATAAAATATTAATGAAGTAAAATTAATGGAGTTGATATATTAAGAGCCCATCTGTTCTGATATTAGGCTGGAACTAAGGGAAGAAGATGTCATATTCAGAAGCATGTTTTGGATTTGCTCCTCCTCATCCCACTTCCTTAAAATCATAAAAGAAAGAAAGGTATGACATACTCTGCATCTCTTACAGCATTTTCAATCCCAGCCTTAAAAACAGGTTTAGAACATTTTAACATTCTTACCATGAGATTCCAGTCCAGCTCCCTGCGCCAGGCCATTATCATAGGACTGAAGAAAAAAAAAATCCCACAAACCAGTTGGTTTAGTACCACATCACTTTCACAGACATCGCAATTTCTTAGTTTATTAGCAAAATTGTCATCAGACCATAAGCACCATTTAAACTGACTAAATTCTGGACTTCCAAAATTTCTTGGCCCCAAGCGGTTACCAAAGCAGACCTGTTTCAACGCAGGCAGCTTTTATGACTTTCATGGAATTAATTTAGCTGTGACGCATGTCTGAAAATGGGTAAACACATCTTTGCCAAAAAGTAAAAGTATGTGATGCAGATATCCATAAAAGAAAAACCCAAACCCATTTTTTTGTCCTTATAAAGAAAAAATGGGTAAGTAATCAAACCAAAACAAAACTAAATTAATAACATAATCTGTCTCCAACCCTAAAGTCGGCTAATATGCAAAAATTCAAGGTACTACTGTGTGTATAATATTCAAATCCAAGAAACACTTTAGTAAGAAGCAAATATATCAGGCTTTAAAAATAACAAGGGGAAGGGAACCAGAAGCAGTAATACAAAATCTTTCCCCCATCCCCTCTACTATGAATTTCTCGTGTTTTCTCCAAAACACTCAAAAGTGGCTAATAGGTGCAGGACTCCTTGACAAACCACTAATGACTCCCACAGTCCTAACCAGAATGGTTACAGGACCTATCATGCATTTAGGAATTACCTAAGGATTGTTTTGTAGATCTACTCTTAAAGATGACATTGAGAACAAAAAATGAAACAGAAGCAGACAACAAAGCTACATTAAAACTACACTGCTCAGTTTGCGAGTTGTTGCTGCAAGTTTAAGCAACTAAAAAGACTAACATCTGACACATACACTTCAAGCTGCAGCATGACTTTCTAAAATTTGAACCAGCTAATTTTAAGTAATCCCCATAAATGTCTTAATGTTAAAGCACACGGTGTGAACTCTTAGGCACTGCCTTTTGAGAAAGCAATGCAAATGTTCTACCACACTTCACAGACCCAATAATTGTTAAGCAAAGGCAAGTTGATTAGCAAAGCTATGCTGGTAAAGCTAATTAACTCTAAAAACAGCAATTGTAAGGGGAGGTGGTTTGCTTTATGTATGACAAAGTAATCAGCTCCGGAAAAAAGCTGTTAGGAGTGTATCCCAGGCAGTCCACTATACTGGGCTGTTCAATTAGCTTGCAATTCTAATAGACAGAAGTTGACCTTTGGTTTAACTGATGACCATTTATTTACAGACAGCAGCTGTTCTTTGGGGACTTGTGTGCAATAAAAAACTAGGGAAATACTTCTATTTCTTTGTCCTTTTGAAAAACCTCAAGAAACTGTATGCAAAAGAGGCTCTGGGTTACTGTAACATAAAAACCGCATAATGAAATACTATCCTCAGAAAATGTGCAAATCCAGTTGGGATTTGAAGCAAATCTTTGCTTCAAAGTCTGAAAGTCTCATAACCAGCTTAATTATATCAACAGACTAATATAATTATATTAGACTCTACTATACTGGCACAAGAAGATGCTACACTTAAGCTTCTTGCAATATCTCTACTTAAAAAAAACCAACAAGTAATGTTGCAAAAAGTAGCATTATAGAGTCTCTAGAAGTAATGTAATATTTCAGCATCTTAGTGTCTGTTGATTTTTGATTAGTGATACACCTGACTTTTGGACATGAAAGACAAATATCAACCTATGCTGATAAAAATTGTGTGATTGGAATCCAACTATTTTACTGACAGTAAAACTGGTCTAGAATTATTTTTGTGATCAGCATTGCATAAACACTTTTTAGTTGAGCAATAGCAAGAAGGCTATCCATTCTGTATAAAGATTCAGTTCTTTTCAATATTTTAAACCCTGTTAAATGTACCAATCTTCTGCTGTTCTTGATATGCCTAACTACAGAAACATGCTCCCTCCTTCAGTTGTATTGAATTGTATCTCTCACAATTCTTATACTGCATCATGAAGGGAACAAATTTCAAAGAACAAAAAAAAAATCCACAAGCTTATTACAAAGATTACTGTGTTTAATCAGCCATGCTACTCTCAGTCCAGATTGGTTGCACTTCATCTGTAGGGCCAATCTGGAAAACTGGAAAAAGTTCTGTTAACTGTCACGTGCTTCATTTACATGCAAATGATGACGTACAATAGTAAATCAAAACCACACCTTTCCGTCAAAGCAGTTTACTACTGAGCAAGGCAATCTCTTTTGTTCTATAATTAACAAAAGTGACAGAATGAGGTGATATTGTAGTAAAATAGGAATAAGCATTTGCAATAGAGTCTGTACCTATATTCACTGCATAGTTAGCTACACAATGAGTAACAAATGAAATAATCTCAAATAGAATTTACTTTCATTGTTCTGAACATAAGTTATTTTTAGCACCATCTACAAAATCTTAATGGGAGAAATCGAGCTCACATTCTTGGATGCCACATTTCACATTCATTGTATTTATTCATGAGATACACTTTCAGAAATACTTCATTCACAGGATAGGTAATTGAACTGGAATACATCTCAAGAAGAGTGGTGGAAAGAGATGAATGAAAGGAACAACCACTGTTGTGAAATGATTTTCACAATGAATGTCTGAATCCCTGAATGTCTGAGTCTTCTTCAGACACATCTTTAGCTCTGAGTGTGACTAAGCAGGATGCAAAGGTTGTGTGTAGTTTCCTAGAAGTACCAGACACCTTGCAACTGAATTAATGCACTGAAATACTGGTCTGACCAAGCAGTGCAAACCCAGAAAACACAGATGAAACTAGTGCACATGTGCATACCAACCCTAGAATGAATTAACAGCACACCACTGGTTTTAAAGAAGTCCTACTGAACACAGTGCAAAGTCAATCTACCAATTCACAGCAAACCTGGACAAAAATACAGCATCTTTTGTCACACATTTGTACATGCTAAGGTTACTGCTGTCTACAGAATGCTGCTGATAGGATCTCTGTAAACTACTCTCTGAGCTAGCCTGGAAAAGACACAATCTTCATGATAAGCCACAGTAGCTTCTCGACTTTGACCATGACCAGACTCCAGTTTTATGTCACTAGTTAAGTGAAGTATTACTACGAGCCCTTCCAAGAAGCCATGCTCTGTTCTGGCTTCAATTATTAATTTTTTTTAAGGGGTATCAATTTTCCCAATAGGAACATAACAATTGGAATTTGCAGGTATAAGAATTAATGCTAAGTTCTAGAAGCAAAGCATAAATTTGGTTCAAGATCACTGTAGACAGTAAATCTCCAGTGCTATTTCAAAGCTCAAACTTTCAAAGAATCTCCACTTGCCTGCTCTATTAATGGCCTTATATGACACTCTCTAGCTTTGTCCTAGAAAGAAATAGTTGCTTCCTCCTCCCTTCATCTTTTCAGTGCTACTTATTCCTTTACATACCTCTGTCACACTGCACTTAATAACCTCATTTCTAGAATGAAGAGTCCTTAGTATATTAAATGCTCCTTTTACATAAGCTGGATCACACTTTTCACAGTTCAATTCAACTTTCTTCGTACCCTGTCCAGTTCCACCTTATCTTTTGGGACCAAAACTGCACTCAGATGCTCAAAATGCTAACTAACAGTCAATGTGATGTACAGAACTACAAAATTAGGTATTTGCTCTTTTGTTTTGTTTTCTGTTCTTTCTTAGTATTTGATTCTCCTATACTATGTCTTCTAAGCTATTCGACTAAAGGCTAATCTCAATAAACACAGAGGTCCAGAAAGGATCAGAGAAGGAAAAATCCTCCTGACCTAATCAGTAAAAGTAAGCACTCTGCCTTGGCTCCTCCCTCAGACTGTGAAAATGAATAAATCACTCTCCCTGGGTGAAACCCACCAAGAGGATTCAGCAGGGATATTCTCATTCTGGGAACTTATGATAACTAAGGTGAGCTACCACCTACTGGGGTACTGGGGCTCTTACGAGATGCAGGGGAAGAAAATTTCAGGATTGTATAAAAAAACCACCAACTTTTTAGGGAGTGTTCTCCAGGGAATACAGGGGTGTGCATAATTTATTATGGAGTGTCTGGGGAAAGGATCAGTGGTGAGAAAGGGAAGTATCAAAGAAGATTGGGGAAGAACAAGCGAAAGAAAACAGAGGGAAAGGTGGGTAAAAAGTGCTATTAGAGTGTGAAGAGACTGCAGGTCCATATGCTTCTGTGACTGAGCCCTGGTCTCAATCCCCTTGGTCTGTCAAAGACCATGACAGTGTGCCAGAAAGCTTCTTGTGATGTACAGTAAAAAAACCTTAGGCATCCAACTACCTCCTTTAAAAATAAACAAGAAATAAAAACCAATTTGATACAAAGCAGGAAATTAAAGTCTTTTTTAGACTTGTTTCTCACATAAATTTTACAATCTCACTGCTGGCAGCAACTACTAATTTACAGCAGAAGTTGTATGTTGTCATAGATCTGGGTCTTTTTTTGGATCAAAACAGTTTACTGCATGTTTACTCACATTCAAGAAACTGCAGTTTTCAAGCTTGCTCAGCTTATTTAAACAAAATTTATTCTAATCTTGGAAAATGAAACTCAATTAAACTAATGAAATATCATGGGGAAACTCCAACCAAATATGAAGACAGCTTGCACACAGAATTACATTCATGTGTATTTTCCTTCATTCCAAGTATCTAATAAATAGATAATGAAGTGTATAATTGGAAACACTTCTTAAGTATGAACTGACGTCAATGATTTTTTCCTTTAAATGTTTTTCTTTTAAATCCGTGTATCTTTTAAAAATCAGGCCTACAGCTCAATGAAATGTGAGGATTTTATTGACACAGTGTTTTACATACTTCTTCTAAGTTACAGAAGCACAGGCCCCAGTTTTCAAAAACCTGCTTTATATTTTTAAATGATTTTAAAGATTTTTAAAAGATTTAATTTGCAGTTAACAAACACATAAGATAAAATTATCTTTGTAGCACACCCATTACAATGAAAATACAAAATGCAAAAAACCCAGTGTACTTTGTCAATTTCAACTTGCTAAAGTAGCGAAGAGAAAATAAAGGAATTACCATAATACATCAATTTGGACAAAGAGATTTTTTAGCCACAGTTAAGAAATAAAGCTATAAATGTTAAACTGTAGAAAGAAATAACATTTTGTGAACACTCACCATACTTCTTCTGATGTAATCTATAGCTTTCTTCATATCCATGCCTGACCAGTTATCAAGCATGTAGCAGATACAGGAAGCACAGTACACAAACCTCATATCATTCTCACTTCCTTCCAGCACAGCACAGAAACTGAAACAAACATTTATGTCTTAGACACTGTGTCGCCTGTTTCACCAGAAAATATGAAAAGTAGTTCAGCACTGTGTTTTCTTTAAAGATTAGTTACTTCTATTTAGAGTAGTCTTATAAATATAACCCAAAGCTATGCTAGATTTTCTTTTCAGAAGATGTGATTCTAAGCCAAGGAAAATGAATAGAGCTATTAACATTTAGGGGCCTGGGTGACTATTTCCAGCAATTTAATGACACTGGTCTTTATTTTATTCATTCATACCTGTTATAGTATATACTCATACATGAGTCAACATTTTGACATTTACCACTTTGGGCAGAATTTTTTGCCTTTCTAGGAATCCTAATAGCTCACAAAGCTTTCTTTCCTTATTTTATCTTCATGATTGGTTTCCAATGCATGTGTAAATCTAATTGCTAATACTAACACAAATGGTGAAAATAGCCTTCAATTCAGTTTTTCATTTCTTACGGTTATAACCTTTCCAAACTCCATGAGCATTTTAAAATTATCGTATCTGGGTTATTTTGACACAATCTCAGAAACTCTTAAAATGATGATGGATGCTGTCATTTGGATACTTGTATAAGAGGTATTTAAAATACCAACAGATGTGGTGCTTAGGGACATGGTTTAGTGCTGGACTTGGCAGTGCTGGGTTAATGGTTGGACTTCATGATATTGGAAGTCCTTTCCAACCTAGATGATTCTATGATAAACAGAAATAGATAAAAAGTTGAATTACCTGTGACAAGAAATAAACCTTTAATTGTTTCTTCTAAGATTTGCTGCCTGAAAAGCCCTGGTTCAAAGGGCTTGTTAATATACTTTGATGACTTAACTACTTGCAAGAAGTCAGCACATGCATGGGTTCTGTGACTGATAGTGATTACCGACCAAATATTTTCTAATATAAGAAAAATATTATATAGCTACTTTCATAAAAAATGTGTTTCTTAGGTTTCCTTCCACATGTGGCTTCGTATTAACCATCCAGAGAGTTGCAGAATATAAAATATCTTTTACCTTCCATCCTCCAGCTGGAGAGCTCTCAGTCCTGCCAGTATGGCATCTTTATTTACTCGACTTAAATCATCTCCAAGAATAACCAGACACGATAGACCTGTGTAAGTCATTGCTATGTGCCCGCTGTCATAGGGATGAGATACACCTGGACCCTAGAAAAACCAGGGAAAAAAGTAAAAACACTGAAACATCACAACACCTTCTATTACAGCCAAGCTTTTTCTCCTTCCAATTAAGATGTAAATTAATTTCTTTTCCCTTGACTCATTATGGTTAAACTGAAGGCATCCTGCTCAGCTTTCCTAAGCTACTGCATAGCTCTGTTACCCTTGTAAACACTTGGTCAGAAGGAAGCTTTGGAAAAAGCTCTGCCACAAGTTATATTTATGCAACAATTAAGCAAAAAGATGGGATGTCCTCAACTGTATCTAAGTTTATCCTGACACAACACTGGGCATTAGCTGCCTGGCATCTGGGTAAGCAATGTTAAACAGCCAAACCTCTGGAGGTCCCCTCAGCAAAGATTTTACAACCTAATGATCTACAAGTAGAAAGCAGTAAGAGAGATTATTAGTAATCACTCTGTCAATTGAAGCAATACCAAATTAGCCACTCATCTGCTTTCATGTCTATTTTAAAACAATAATCAGAGCTTAAACAAAGTATTTGCATACCAAATAATCAGAGGAATATAGAATATACTGTCTTGAAGGGACCCACAAGGATCACTGAATGGCAACTGAGAAGCTAAAATGAGAGTTAAGTGTTGACTAGTCACACAATATAAATCCCAGAAATGGCCAGGGGATTGATACTGCTGTGCTAAAACTATTATTCATCTTTCTGGTATTTTTCAGGCACAACTTGAACTGTGCCACTTCATGAAAACAGAGACTACATGTAATAAGATGCCTATGGATACTTGGGATGGTTCTGTCTAGAGCAAGTGGAAGACAACTATTTTAAACAGGATAAAAGCTATTTCAATACTGAGTAGTAGAGACATTTTTAAATCATATTACTGGCATTACTGCCTAATTAGTTGCCATTTTTATTTTGCAAGTAATTCTAAAAAATTCAAAGTAAAAACCAGTATAAAACTGAATTTAATATTATGTTATGTGTAGTTGGTATTTTTCAGGCAAGCCATGCTTATTTCCAAAGCCCAAAGGCTTTGTTTCTAATAGGAAACTGGAAGAAAAATAATTACCCACTAGACAGCAAGGGACTGCTCTCACACTAGGGAATCAAACACTGTTGGGAAAGGGAGGCAGAAAACAAAGTAAATGATTGCAGCAGTACTGGAAAAGCTCTAGCTATGCAACACAGGAGAGCAAAAGACTGAGGGCTGAGAGCTGCACCTTTTCTTTTTTTTTATTTCTACCCCTTGACCCTCTGATGCCAAGGGAGCACAAATCTCAACAGCTCCCACTCCATTCCCTGTGCTGCCAGTGCCCCCACCCCCAATTGCTGTCTCACACCTTGCACATCCCCCAGTCACAGACACACAACCAGAGTGGCAGAGGCTGCAGGACCTCTGGTGTTTGTCTGGTCAAACCCCCTGTTCAAGCACTGTCACCTACAGATGGGCACCCAGGCATGTCCCAGTTCTGATCCTAAAGCTTCTCACAGTTTTTGTCAAATGAAATAAAAGACACACACTAGCCAGTGAAAAATCTGTGGAGAGGTTATCAGATATTAGGATCAACTGCTTACAAAATGTCCCAGCAGTTCCCATCAGCAACTATGAAGAAAATTAAGCTTGCAAACGTCTATATAATTTAAGTTAAACTAGAATCAGAGGAACACCTGATTTCTTCCTCCTTGGACTAACCTAGAAGGGAAATGCAGAATATGCCTCTGCTGATTTCAAAGAAACACACTGAGCCTGTGAATCAAGGTTAACTGTTCACCATGGCAGTTCACACACTTTTATATGTAGTTTATCTCCAAATAAATACTGAAATCAGGAATAACTGAACAGTAATATGTACAGTGAAATAGTTTGTACATACATTTGAATATATTATTTCCACAGGAAGACTATATTCACTATGCAAGGAGGGTTTACAGAAGTATATTCAGACTTGCTTTTTAGAACCATACTTATGAAAACTCTACCCAAATGTTCTAACTAAAAGAAATATGCCTGGCTTTTCAGGAAATTTTCTAAGACCTCTACAGTTGTCAAACAATGTTCTCCTCTAAACGACAATCTTTTCAGTGTCTGTATAAAGTAGGAGGCCCTGGTGGTCTAGCGGTAAAGGCACAGCGCTATCACCGCCGAGACCCGGGTTCGATTCCCAGTCAGGGACACTCCCCGGGCAGATGGAGCTCGTTAACCCTTAAAGGCAACCCACCTACGTCCTAAGGACCTCGCTGCCACCGTCCAAGCTCGCTTGGCCCCGGCAGATGAACCTTAGGATTAAAGGGTGGGCTCAGTTCCGCGCACACTGTGTCTCACCTAAAAAATCCAATGCGCAGGCTGGAAGGTGGAAAGACCTTCCCCGGATCTTCGCTCGCGAAGACTGGCCATTATTATTATAAAGTAACTCAAAAATTACCACTTCGATTTTTTTATTCTACTTTTCTACACACATGCTAATTCCACATCGCTCCTAAAGGCTTAGTAGCCTACAAATATGTTTCAATAACTAAGCCCTTACTTTTTAGCGAATTATTTTAGCATTTCTTCTACACTACTAGTTGCTGCAGTAAAAATAGGCTGCAGACAAGCATGTATACTGTGTGATCACAAAACATAACACCAGAGGAACCCTTGATAACACCATCCTCCTCTAACAAATTGCATCAATCACTACAGCACTACAGCATTTCTGGACAACAGACAAATTCTATCCATACTTGTTTCCTGTGCAAATATCCCAAAAGGTAGCAGTAGCACACTGCTTTTGCAGACAGAGGTTTTCAGAAACACCTGAACTGTGCAAAATTTTGCAAGTCTGGTAGTTTCAATAAAGAACACAAATGATACTAGTAGGATACATATAAAGCTATATGTACAATAGCACCTGCTGCCTGTACATGCAATCATGAAGTCCACAGCTACACTAGTACTGCCACTCACTTCTGTCCTTGAACACCAAACAAATCCTTATGCAGAAAAGACTGCTAGGATAGATGGGTTTGTAATGTTATTTTGTGGGGAATCAGGGAGATGTGTCAGTGTTCAAGAACATCTACTCAAAAGTCACACAACTGCCTTTGCTACTAACAGTTTTCTCTTATCACAGGATTATGATGTGGCAAGTAATTAAATTCTTTATATGGTAAATCAGTGTACTGCTAGGTATCTAGACATGTAATTACTACAAAAGCCAGAGGACACTACAGAAGGTCCAAAATACTGGTATGCATCCAATGTCTTGACAGCTCTGGGTTAGGCCCAAAAATCCCAACAAATATGGCCAATATTTCAATAAAATCAAATTAAACACAGAAGGATCAGAACGAAGTATGAGATCATACAGGAATTACTGCACATCACAGAGGCCAACATGATGTTTCAGATGTGGAATTACTGTAAGATTCTGGAAGGTTTTGAAAGCCTAGCAGATCTTTGCTCACCACACATAGTTTAAGAAAAAATTAAAACAGTATTTACCGTAAGAATAATATACTCTTAAAGTTCTAAGTCTACTGGAATTCACTTTATTTTCTAGGTTCCATGTAATTATTGCAAGATCACTGTGATACTACTTAAAAAATTTTATATCGTACCTACATACACCTATATATACTTCACACACTTACGTAACAGAACACAAAGCCCACATAACAGGATGTCTTTGAGGGGACAACAATCAGGACAACTGGATGCTTCAGACAAAAAATAAAACAACCTTCAAAACCAAAAACCCAAGAAAAGAATATGGTTTTTGCACAAAATTGAAAATTCCTAAAATTTGTAGTAACTGGCCCTGTGCCAATTCGGTATCACAAAACAGGAGTAGAACGGATTCCCCAAATGCAAGAAATTACAGCAGACCTCAAAGGTTTCATGAGATAACTGCCAATACATCTAAAATTTGCACAGGTGGGAGGAAGTGTTGCTAGACTGCTTCTGCTATGATGAAGAAAATAATTCAGATATTGTGCAGAAATCTTATCAAAGGCACCATAGTCAAAGCACTATGTTAATTTTTAAGTTCTGTATTATGAACAAAAAAATACGTTTAGTTAAATCTATTTCTGCCTCATTCACGCTGCTGACTGAAGTGACAGCTGCAACTAAGCAAACTGTCAGCCTAAACAACAAAAAACCACGGTTGTCAGCAGCTCAGATTCATGGGCCAAGAACATAGATAAACAGAATGAAGTTATTTTAAATGGTAGAAGTTACATCTCAGAAACTAGCAACAACAAAGCTGTTAAACTGCGGATGGAGTGTGTTAAACGCTTGAACAACCAGAAATACACTTGATCCAGTATAGTTATGTTTGCATGAAGGAATAACACAACAGGAGTGGGTCTGGAGGGTAGTGCTGAGAGATACCAGTTATTTAGCATAAATTTAGTAAGTTTTAAGTAGAGTGGGATATACACAGTTACAATACTGTGATTTATGATGTTGTTGTTTGCTTAGCTTTGCTTGCTGAGCATGAGTAGCTGGATGAAGCCTCAGGTAGCAAGCTTTGAAAGTACACCAAGATATGCTTCCAGCTGAAATAAAGTTAATTTTCATAGAAATTTTCATAGTAGCTGGTACAGTGTTTTGACTTTGTATGAGAACAATACTGATAACACACTGCTGTTTGGGCTGCTGTTAAGTAATGTTTATCCTGTGTTTAGGTCTTTTTTAGTTTTCCATGCTCTGCCAGGAAGCAGGAGCACCAGAAATGCAAACGACGAGACTGCAATCATCAATTGCAGAAGCTGCAACTCGACAAGAGCAGCCTGTCTGCATGGGCAAAAAAAGAAACCAGTAAGATCCCAGACCAAAAATTACCATCGGACCAGGGGGTGCATACAAGGTACGTGAAGGATGAGTGAGAGGTGGATGTGTAAGTTGTAAGGGTATAATTGCCCATGGATTTCTTTGCTCTGGGTGCCTTTCTGGAGGTACTCATCTTGAGCTGACCTGCTGCTGTACCACTCTATTAAATTATTTAATTTTTATAAATCCAATGGCTGAGACTCTGCTATAGGAGACCCAGGGTTGAGCCCGAAGAAGATAGAAGCACATCTGAGAGTATGTGTGTGTGTGTAAGCAAGAAGGCGAAAGGGGCACCCTGGACCAGAGAGAGCTAAGAAATTCTCTCTGCTGAAAAAGCATGGGAAAGATCTCTTCAAACACTAATAAACACACACCTGCACAAGCATAGCCCCACTTTCAAAAAACCTTCTTCTCACACCCGATGCTGCTGTTCCAAGAAAGGATTCTTTTACCCAGGAGCAAATCCACACACAGAGTTGAGATAATTGTTTTTGACATGTCTGCACAGAGATGGATGCTGGATGGTAAATCCACAAAACCAGCACACCTGGTTACAGCCAAGAAGCATAATTATACTTTCAAAATACGTAAGTATTCACTAATCTAATTTCTAAGTACATGTGTATGTAATAGCTACTGGACAATCTTTTGCCTGTTTTGATTTAAAGGTACAGTGTATTTTAAGTTTATTCCAGATGTTCAGTGGGTAGCTGTCTTCACTTGGAGGCAGGTAGCCTAAGCTGTAGAAGTGTGGTTTTCACATTATAATGACTTAAGTTCATCTAAAGCACATGATTTCAGCTGATTTAGCCAATTTGAGTAAAACTTGCAATCCACTGGTGAACACAGTCTCCAGTCTCTAATTTGAGGTGCCTCTGCTACAGTATTCTTACTTGTTTCAAAACTATTCTGCAAGACCTTGCCATTTCCCACTCTGTAGGATCACAGAATGTCCTGGTTTGGAAGGGACCTTAAAGATCATCTAGTTGCAATTCCCTATTTGTGGGCAGCAACACTTTTCACTAGACCAGATTGCTAAGAATCCCAAAAAATAAAATACAGATATGTTTGCTTAATATTAAAAAAAATACGTAATACAGAGATGCTTTGACCCAGGCTTCCCTGAGTCTTTATAGTATTTATTGTTATTTTCTATTTATTTTTATATTCTATTTATTGTTGTCTTTTATATGAGTCACTCTGCAAAATATTTTCTTAAACTATTCATCTTTCATCAGTATCAGTGTAGCAGCCTTGAGAAAATACAATGTTGTGTCAGGAACACAAAAGAAATCTTTTTTCCCCCAAGTGAAAGCATATGTTATTTACTACAATCTTACATAAAAGTTTCAGGTATTGGCTTTCAATCTAGCCCTAAAACTGATTTACAACACTTTAAAGAGATTGAAATTATCTAGGCCCACCTGAAACTCTGAGGAGACTGTTCACCCCTAAACTAAAAAGCTAGTTTAAATTCTCATAACATCAAATCAGAGAGACTGCAGAACTTGGAGCCATTTAAAAAAATAATTATTTTCTAATTCTAAAATGAGTTATGTTTTAAATGTGGTGATAAAAGAGTGACTCTTATGCTCCCCTTAGAGTTAAGATTGTAATGGTTAGCAAAGGCTGTGTGGTGAGATGGTGAAGTGGATACGCTTTTGTTTCACTTTTGCTACTGTTTCAAAGAACTGCAAAGACATTACCATCAAACATCAAAAGGGTAACAGCTAAAAAACCACAACCCCCAAACTAAACCCTAATGAGCTATCCTTGTAACATTCAGTAAAGCTGGATATTCTAACATTTGCTTTGGTTTGTTTTGTTATTTTGAAGGGTCCCTAGTGACAGCACAGATTTGGCTACCTCCAGTATGCCACTTTCTCAGAGTTCAAGAATGAAATCACTCTAGTGGCACATAATAAATTTTATCAAACATCAATGTAAACCCAAAACACAGGCTTTTTCATAAATTATTTTTCAAGACAGATTTAATAGAACATTTTTTAATGATGAATAATGACAAGACCGTAAACATTTCTCCAAGTCATGGCAGTGATTTCCAAGGGGGTTTTTTTTGTGTTATTTCAGAACATTTCAGGGCAACAGTGCTGGAAATGCTTTAAACCTTTATATGCCAATAAATCAATCAGATGTAATCCTTCTATGGTAGATACAATGAAAAAAGTACTGCAGCGTTTGAATAAAAAGCACATCCATGTGCAAACAGTTTTCTAGAGATAATGACCTTATAGCTTATTTCCACAGGTTACATGGTTCCACCCCTTTTTTCCTTCTGCAGATTGGCTAACACATTCTAAGACACCGATGGACTGCAACACATTTCCTGTAAAGAGAATATTTAAGTATGAAGCACATACTATTGGTGGTTGACAGCTAAATTAAAACACCACAAAGTGCTGAGAAGGGAAAACAATGCATTGTCAGTCTTACAGAATTTTTGTCTTCAGGGCCCATTACAAAATTTCAGAACTACATTCAGAATCAAATCTTCTAGCTTTATACACTGACTTAATATACTACCCCACATGGCAATGACACAAATGTTTGAGGAAACATGAGACTGATATATTTTTATTATTGCAGTTTGGTAAAATTATGTCTTTATCCATTATATAGTGCTGTTATGCCATAACGTAAGCATGACAACCTCCACCTTCTTTAGATGACTGTTATCAAAGATAATCATCTTTCTGCTGAGTAAACACAGTCTTTTCCTTATACAACTACATTGAAATTGTCTACTATTTTGTATCTAAATGGGTTTTTTAACAAATTATCCCAGTAAGTCACCACTACAGATCCCAAATTTGTTTAGGTTTTAAGCAGAATTTTTTCCTTGTTTCCTTCAAGCTCAGTGTGTGGTTGGATTGCCATAGAAGTAAATTCCAACTGAAACTTGCTACTACAGTGAGATCTCACTGCAGACATCACCTGTAGTGTGTAACAGGATAAATACCAAAGCAAACCAAGAGACAAATTACCTTGCCTGTCACATGCTGCTGAGTGCTCAACATAGACATGTAAAAAACTGTCTTCACAATTATTTTCGGCTTATGCAACTTCTGAGTATTACTGCTATAAGTACTTGGCTGACTTGCCATGCAAAGACGCACATGTAGTCATTACTCCAACAGAGATTAACATTTCCACAAGCTACTCAGAAGCATAAAGTTACTCTCAAACACAGGACAGAACTACTGTAGCTCTTTCACAGTCCTTCCTGTTCACTGGCCTCTACTTTCCACATCCAGCTACATAAAATCTTCTGCAACACTTTTAGTAACCTCTGCTAACCTCCTTTCTCTCTTTTATTAAGGGCACTTTCTTTTCATATACAAAGTTTAACCCTCTTGGTTCCCTGGGCTTCAAAGCATCGTCTCTTATAGGATGAACAGAGCTTTGCTTACATCTGAGTGGGTATCAGGTACAATGTGTGATTCAACACAGGAAGGGAAATACCAGTTGCAGACAGCGACATCAGAAGAAACAGAAAGGCCCAGTCTGTTCATACATGGCTACATGGCTGGTGACACGGTCAAAATTTTGAGGTCTTTTTTGACAATGGGATGGCCTATATGGCACCATGCATATTGGCATCAGATAGGATTTACTTTCTAAAAGAAGCAGGATAGTTAGAGAGGTCCACTGATAGAGCTTTAAAGCAGACCTGATACCCCCACAACACCCTTCTCTCTTAATTAAGCTATGGATTTGATGGGTGGACTGTCCAGTGGGCATCGGTGACAAGTGGTGCCCTCAGGGGTCTGTACTGGGACCAGTAATACTTAGTATCTTCATTAATGACACAGAGAGAGGGATCGAGGGCACCCTCAGCAAATGTGCAGATGACACCAAGCTGAGTGGTGCTGCTGACACTTCTGAAGGACGGGATGCCATCCAAAGGGACCTGGACCAGCTCAAGAAGTGGATGCAGGGGAATTTCATGAGATTTAACAAGACTAAGTGCAAGTTGCTGCCATCTGGGTTGAGGCAGTCTCAAACTGGGAGGGTACAGTCTGGGAGAAGAAGTCGCCAAGAAGGACTTGGGGGTGCTGGTGAAGGAAAGGCTGGACATGAGACAACAATGTGTGCTTGCAGCTCAGAAAGCCAATTGTAACCTGGGTTGCATCAAGAACAGCATGGGCAGCAGTGGGAGGGAGGGGATTCTGCCCCTCTACTCCTCTCTGGTGAGATCTCACCCACAGTGCTGCATCCAGCACTGAGGTCCCCAGCACAAGAAGGATGTGGCATGATGAGAGGAGGGCCAGGAAGATGATTAGAGAGAGCACCTCTTCTACAAGGAGAGGCTGAGAGAGTTGTGGTTGGTCAGCCTGGGAAAGAGAAGGCTTCAAGATGACCTAACAGTGGCCTTCCAGTACCTGAAAGGTGCCTATGAGAAAGATGGAGAGGGACATTCTACAAGGGCACGTAGTGACAGGACAAGGGGGAATGACTTCAAACTGAAAGTAGGCTTAGATTAGGTGTTAGGAATGAATTCTTCACTGTAAGGGTGGTGAGGTACTGGAACAGGCTGTCCAGGGGAGTTGTGGGTTCCCCATCCCAGGAACTGTTCAAGGCAAAGTTGGATGAGGTCCTGAACAATCTGGTCTAGTGGCAGGTGTCCTTGCCTGTGGTGAAAGGATTGGAGTGAGATGATTTTAAGGGTTCCTTCCAGCCCAAACTACTGTATGATACCAAAGAACAGTATGTACTGCACCACTTACTATGAGGCTGTTCTGCTCTTCTCTGCCACGTGACAGTTCTTGAGCTAGAGAAGTTTCCCTAAGTTAGCAAAAGACCAGAGAACGAAAAACTGCACTGAGACAAGCCACAATTTGAATGCCAATTTCCTCCCTGATTTGGAAACTCAAGTCCTAGGTATCATTTTAGCATGTTTCTTATGCACGTTTCTTAAAAGCTCTGAAAACATTTTAGTGTGTTAACAGTGAAAAAATCTCTGCCTTCCAGATATTCTATAATTGTGAAGTTTCTATTTTAAAAAAGACACAAGATCATTTATTGCCTAACCGAAAATATTACACACACACACACACATTCTTAACTGACCTTGGAGGGATTGAATGGCATCCCTAAATACGAAGAGCCTCTGAATCCACAGCGATTCAAGTTTGATCCTGGAAAAGATTAAAACAATACTCAACTAACTTGTTTTGTTAAAACATTCATTATAAACCATAATTCTCTACTGAAATCAAGACCCATTAGTCCAACACTATTCATAACATAACTAGAGTTTGTTACCAATGATCAATTTAAAGAAAAACAAAACCAAGAAAACTACAAGCAAACCTAATCATGCTGTAATGACAAAGCACAAGGCATAGATACTATTTTTTTTTTTAATTTAGTGAAAATATAGCCACTGGATCAACAAAGAATTGTCTTCCATGCTCTCCAGAAAAAATAAAAAGAGATTGCTCCCCTGGGAAAATGCCCAGAGTTAACATATTTTTTTATTCCTCCCTGGATTCCTGCCTGGTAATGCCATCTGTTCCCAAGCAGAACTGTTCTAAGATCCTCTGCAAAATGTTCAAGGGCAAACAAATTGCACTTTTAGTACACTGTAGCTATCAAACATTTCTGTAGGTGATTCAGTATAATTTGTTTCAAATTTCTCACAATACCTGAGCATCGTGCATACAGAAGTGTTAACCACACACTGTCTAGAGTTAGGTACAGGTTTGCAGGGCTCAATCCTGCTTTTGCATGGCAAAAACTCACTTGTTTACTGCTCAGTCTCTGAATAAAAGCCTAGTGAATGCTATAGATTAGCAGCACCTGGGTGTTCTTAAATTTTTTAAATTCTCTTCCCCCCCCCTTTTTTTTTTTAATTCTTCAGCATTTAATCTAAAAATCCTCATGGATATTAGGGAAAATTGCACCAGACTAAAAAAAAAAGAATAGTTATAAAGCTGAAAGCCCTACAAAACTCACTGTATAATGTGGTCTACAAGTTCTTGTGTACTTTATCACCATATTACCTTCGAATTCTAAGTATGTTCTGCATATATGCAAAATTTAAACTAGAAAGTTTTTACTAGCCTAAGAACTTTAACTTGGCTGAAGTATACAAGCTTCACTACAAGACAAGTCTTCGGATCTAACTGAAATGGAGTGAAACATCTCCAGTTCTCCACTTCCTCCACTGTTCAATCAAAATTACTTTTTAATGATTCTACACATGTAATGAAAGCAACTTCAGCCTTCACTAAAAATTGATATGGCATAGTCATACCCACAAAGAGAAAATAGAAGAAGTCTCTGTAACTGCAGACAAAAAAATTCATAACTGTTTTATTTTGTTATAATCTAAACATTCTCAGCAGAGAACATTTGTTGGTTTGCTTCTAGAGTCAAATGCCTGCATTTCATATTGCATCAGCCTTTGGAAAGCACAATAAAATAAATTAAAGAATAATCCAAGGTCCTGCAAAATACTGTCCACAAAAAAAGAAAAAAAAAATCACAATTTCAAAAATGACACAATGTGAATGAATCAGTAAGAGAAGAACTAGAATTCCAGCCTCTTAAGTACCAAATTTCCCAGGCGACATTGTGGAAAAAAAATCACCATTCACTTGACCCATTTTCAGTAAAAAAAGAATCTGTGTCCTAAGTGCCTAAGCAAACTAGAAGACTCACTTTGAAATGGTCCTAAAGTGGAAACCCTTCATCTAGAAAAGTTGCTAGCCTACTAGCACACAGCTATTCTGTCTGTTGCAAAGGAAAACATGCTACAATTAGGACAGCTCTGTAGTCAAACAGGGCTCAACTGCTAGCTGGAAGGATTCATCCCGGAAATACTGATCCTCATCCTTTTAGACTGTAGCTTATTATTAACTACCAAGATAGAAATGGCAGCATGAAACCCAAGTGTCATGTACTGTTAGTGTGTCACCCTGACTGGCTTCTGAATTCACAGCTACCATGAAAAGAGATAAGAATAAAGTACATGAATGAAATCATGATCCATTACTCCCTTTAGCTGTTCAATTTTCATGTAGTATTTTAAAACCTTTCTTGTACTACTAAACTTCTATCAACTAGAAAACAGCATCTGTAATTTTAAAATGGATGACCCTTTAATGCTGTTACTACTAGAAGAGAAACTTCAAAAGGAATTTTATCCCCTCCTCCAATCCACTAATGTGCATGCAGTATATGCTTCCTAGACCTTCAGTATTACAGGAGCTGCTGAATACCTAGTCAAAACACATGAATTAAAAAATAGAATTCTGAGTTTATAAGGGAAGCATTAAAACAGGAAGTGAAAAACACTTTAACCAGATGACTCTGGAACACTGATGTCATGTCTAGAAATTTTTTTTAGCATACCATGAAAACAAAGTTCAAAATCAAATGGGAACCAAAGGGGATTCAGAGAAAACTGCTGTCTTTCAGCTTATGAAAGAAACTTCATAATGTGAAACTTCACCTTCTGGGAGGCTGGTTTGACTATGCTGGGGCAAAGGACTTACACTTCTTATTTTATGATAGCTTAGCAGTATTAGTCAAACTCTTGTCTCCTTTCCTGACCACAAATGGGCTGTCAGAATCAGAAGCAGAAATTAAATATACCCTAATTAAGAGGGTGTGACCATAGTTTATGCCCCTCGTAAAAAATCGCTGGAGTGACCAGTTCAGCCCCAGCACAGCTTGCTGAAGCTCAGTGCAACTGCAGCTGTGAAACGGTACCACCTAGTGTTCACTTTCACCGTCAACCTTACTTAACCACTTTCTGAAGGAGCTGAAGACAGAGCAAAAGTAATAAACATTCCATCAATTGCTGCATAGCTATTGCAAGCTGAACATAACCCACCTGGAAAAACTTTCACATTAGACAACTAAAGAAAACTGATCTTTTTCCACAACAAAAAGGCTGCATACTTAAATCAAGGGCTGAGACTTTACTGTGAAAACCCTGTTACTTGTATGAGCTTAAGCCAGAAAGATAGGTAACAGAGCTTCAAGTGATGACTACAGACAACTTATTGTAGGAGCTCTTTTTGTACAGACAGGACATTTTGTGTTTCATGATTTCTCTTGCACGGAAGGATTAATAACTTTTACCACTAATTCTTCACATTTAGATTACCCATTCATTTCTCTGTCTGCAAGGCTTTCCTCATTTTGCTAAGTACAGAAGCAAGGTTACATACATCATTATAACCTTTTTATATATATATAAAAAATCACAACTTTAACACAGGCTGACCCTGACAGTACAGACAGATAAAAATGCACATAAGTTCTCACTGAACTAGAGCTAAAGATGTAATTATTCCTGTAAGACCAAGCACTAGAGGATGTCATAAAATGCGGACTTGCATTCTCTAAAATGGAAGTCCATTATATATCCAGATAAATACTTCAAATGTAGCCATTAAAGAAACTTATATTAGAAGAAAATTCGTATTTCTGCTCAAGAAACTTATGATCCAAAAGCATACATGCAACAAAGATTTCAAAAAACAGTCAATGGCATTTTATACATTTTTTCAGTACTGACAACACAAGAAGAAATAATCATTATTACAAATCTAAACCTAGTCTTTGACAGAAGTAAGGTTTAGGTCTGTCATGCAGCATAATGATTTCCAGTCTGCTATCCATGGGTTCTATGGGTTCAGTCTTACAAATGCAACATGTCTCAGTGTTCTTTTTGGTTCCATTTCTTAGTAAAGCAAAGCTAGTGAATCATCCAGCAGTCAAAAAGTACAATTTCCTTCCCTCTGCCTTAGTGGGCTCGCAGTGGCATTTCCAACCAACACAGTTCACCATCACAACACAAAGCTAACCTTCTGTTAGATAAATAGATACATGCTTTCCAGCCACTTCAGCAAGCTCTCAAGCAGGGTCAAACAAATGCCAGTGTTCCTATGTGGGAGGATGGTGGATGAATAAAGCCAAGCAGTGTGTCTCTGCTGCCTGTAATTAGATTACTTGAGTACAAAGCTCTGGATTCACTCTCTTTTAAAAGTGGTGAACTGGCTTGCAAGAAACGGGGATACATATTTCTTAAATTGCTGTGAGTTGCACTTTAAGATAGTTACAATAAATTTGAAGTTCTATCAAAGAACTGTACTATGAGAGGAAAAAAATTAAAATTCTGACATCATAAGGATCTTAAGAACAATCAGCTAATTGAAAGAGGGTCTTTTCTGAATGCTTTTCCAATTTCAGTAAAACTCAAAAAAATACGTCTTAGTCTAAATACATATAATTTCTGGTAAGGCTTGTAAAAGAGCACCACCTTCCTCAAAATGAAAAAAGGGAAAGAAAAAAGAACTTTTTCAAGATTTCAACTTCCTGCAGTGAACACACAAACAAAACAAAAATATATATTAGCCACACACCTAAGCAGAGCATTTACTGGAAGTGCAGGAAAGGTAACCACGGCCAAAATCTATGCAATATAAAGCCAAACTATTTAGCATGAGTTAGAGAAGGCAGGGGCCCTTCAAACCAGCAGAAGGTGGCAATAAGTTGAAGCATTCAGCTAAGGATGTGTTTCTGTGTGAGGGTCAGCATGCATATGTGACATGTCATTCCCTCCTAATTAAAACTGGTATTGAGACAGTCTCTGAAACAGCTGAGCTAAAATTAGGGTACCTAAAGGACATTATTTGTTTGAATCACAGTTGCAATAAACCCACAGAAGAATACTATACGGACAGACCTTTATCTTCCTTTAGTGCATTTCAATTAGGTTGACAGAGTATACATTTGCTTTCTTACTCAGCCAGATCAAGATCTCACCACTTTGCATTAGAGAGCTTTAGTTTCACATAAAAATTTCAAAGACTACAAACCTCTGAAGTGAAGCTTTCTTTAGCCATCAGATACATTACACAGCAGTAAATACAAACATGTTACTTAAAACCACCACAGGATATTGGGAGACCCTATCTAAGAAGTGCTCTAAACCACTAAATCCTGAATTTTCTGCCAGGTTCTGTAATGCCCTGCTGTGGTGGGTTGACCCCGACCAGCAGCTGAGCACCCGCACAGCCACCCCCTCACTTCCCCCTCCAGTGTCAGGACAAGAAAACAGAGGGAAAGGGAGAAGACACAGGGAGTGAGACAGAGACAGTCTGATAAGTGAAGCAGAAGTTTTGGGCACATGCAAAGCAAGGGAGGGATTCATTCACTACTTCCCATCAGCCAGGCAGGTGTACAGCCACTTCCCAGAAAGCATGGCCTCAGCAGGTGTAAGGGTTACTCAGGAAGACAACTGCCAGATCCACAAACATCGCCCCCTTCCTCCTTCTTTTCCCAAGCTTTTATTGCTGAAGATGATGCCAGATGGTGTGGAGTATCCCTCAGGTCAGCTGTCCTGGCTGTGTCCCCCAGCTGTATCTGCTGGGGGAAAAGGACTGCAGAGGAAAAGAGCCAGCCTTGATGCTGTGCAGGTACTACTCTGCAACAGCTAAGAGACTGCTGTTTACCAACACTCTTTTTAGTTCTAGGCCCAAAACAGCAGCTTAGGGGCTACTAGGAAAAATAGTGAATTCTATCCGAGCCACTACATATACTACAATAGTTACTGATAAAAATAAGCAGGTACTAAGTTTTGTAAAGCATCAACTGTTCTGTCTCACATCCACTGGAAAAATGACTGTAAGGTAGCAGTAGTCCTCAAAATAATTTGAATTTGACATCTTAAAAAAATGCTTTAAACAAAAATGCTATAGATAATGGAACCTTTGGAGGGACAAACATGAAGAGCAGAGAAATTTATTTATTCTGAAAAGAATTACAGAAATTCTTTTTGCCCATTTTAGAAATTCGACCACTGACATAATTAAAAACAAATCCCAAGATTCTGTAAAAATATATTCCAATTCAAAACGTAGGTTTTAAATTGGTTTTCTGTCCCAGAACCAAACTAAGTAAAGACTTATATCAAATATGACACAGTTGCTTTAGATTGCTGAAATCTGTCACTGCAGAAACTGCATTATAAGACACTGTTATAATATAAATGTTTAAAACCAATATTCCACAGAAAAACAGATTTATCAGAATGAATGTTAAAAAAGCTGCAATAGTAAGCTTCTTTAAAAGCAAAGTATTGCGGTTGCTTGTTTGGTTTTTTTACCCAGAAGGATTCTGATCCATCTAGCAGGCACCCATCTCTAACTGGAGATGCACAATCATTTTGAAACCAAAAACTTAACTCCTGTAGACTACCAGAGTTTAAACACTTCTTCAAACAGGCCAAAAGAGGGAGTAAGAGCTCTGCTACTGGGAAGCTGCCAATTAACAAGCATTGCACACACCCAGGATTAAAAACCAGAAAGTTAATACATTTTATTGAAAGTAGACACTACAGGAAGGTAGACATTCTCTTCTTCACATTTAGTCATCCAATATTCAACTTTCTGCTGTTGGCATCATTTACATTTTACACCGTCTATTGTCCAGTAGATGAAGCAAAAACAAAATAAAAATAATGCTGAAGCTTTAGGGGTCAAATGACCACGTAAGAGTAGTGTTATTACCAAAACGTAAGAAGAACAAGAGTTATTACAATGTGATATGAAAATACGGGATTGGAGGGAAGCTTATTCTTATGGTAAAAAGCAGAGTTTATTATTTAGAAAGCACAGAATGCACTGCCAAAAGCAACCTCCCCAAAACTACTCTACTGTAGTTTTATGAGGGGATGATAGCTAGGAAAAAAAGGAGAACATCTCTGCTGTGCCATGGACTGTCAGCCTCCATATCCGTGTGCCGAGATTTTTACTCCTCTCCCTAGGAGGCTCTTGACAGTGGGAATATTCCAAACACTGGTCATGTAGAACCCTTCTGAAAAATCAGTGCATACTATCAATGATAAACAAATAAAAATGCCTGTTCTCTCTAATCTTGCAAACTTCCCTGATCTTTTGGAATACACTCCTGAAGACTGGGATAAAAGTCAGAAGGGACAGGTATCTCCTCATGATTAAAAATGTCAGGAATAATTATCTGATCCAAATTCCTAATTTTCTATAATCAGTCCTGGAATACAACAAAGACAAAAGAAATCTATTAAAACTAATTTCTGGGGTGGATCTGATGGTTTCTAAGTCTCCAGAGTAAGAAAAATGATCTTTTTATTACTGCAAAAATAAAGCATCAGCTATCCTGATTTCCAAATGCTTGCTTCATAAAAATGTTTTTATTTCATAAAACTGATTTTAGAGACCTTATTTGCAGCATATAGATTTTAGATATCTAATTTGTAGTACATAATTAGACTAAATAATATAGGAAAACACACAATTTTCTTTCTACAGCCATCCAAAGTATATGTTCATGATTTTGCAGACAGCCACCTGGCTCTAGAGAGCCTCCAGTCTGGAGCTATACCCACACCAGCATTTAACACGCCTGCTGTAAAGCAGCAGCGCCTCACCCACATCTCCCTCCCTCCCACCCCCTCTACTGCTGGTCACTATTCCACCGCACTGCCACAGAAAAAACTGCTAATACCACCTAGCCCACAGGAAGAACACCTCCCTAACTTCTGTCAAGTCACCAGGAAACAGACATTTCCTGTGGGCTCCCTCTCCGGCTTGGATCTGCTGTGCACCTTCCAATCTGAGGACAGCTGGGATACAGCAACAGCACTACTCCCTCCAGAAACCTTGGGTAAATTCAACCTTCACAGCTCTAAAGAACAGATTTTATTTTCTCAAGTAGGGACTGTGTTTATCCTTTTTGCTTCTTACTCTTACACTTCCCATTTTCCAAAAGCTGTTCCAAAAAACCACACCCATGCTCAGAACTCCTGGTATAGGAGTGGAATTCAATATACAATCATAGAATTAACTGGGTTGGAAGAGACCTTCGAGATCATCAAGTCCAACCCTTAGACTTGTAATATTAGACTTGTAATAGTTCCATAACATATGCATTTCTTTTAAAATCAGGTGAAACATTCCTCTGAGAAGCCCAAAGGTGCAACTTCATCATACTATTTTATACTGGCTTATCTTCAAACAAATTTCTGCTTTTTCTAGCTTTATTACTTGTGAGGGATCTATTTCCAAGATTTGCTTGACATCACTATCTGAAATTATCAGGACAGCACTTCAGGAAAGCCAACCTTGTATTTTATAAAAACCAGAGCCATCCACTATTCCCCAAGTAAAAAGCAAAAGTAAAGATGTTAATATCAATAAAAAAACTAAAAACTCACTCACTGTCTTCAGTGGGAAGGACCTGCAGGGAATAAATCCATTCTATTATATCATCTTTGTTCACCACATCTAAGGAATCCAACATATCCAGACCAGAGAGAGCGAAAAATGCAATTGTCAACCTAAAAGAAAAAGATAAGACTTACACTTCCCACCATAAATATCATGGGGAAATTAACAAAACGTTGCAGAAACAGATACATCTATGCATTCTCAGCCTTTGACAGAGGTGCAACCCAGAGACTAGCTCAGAAAACATGAAATTTATCTACTGGATAAAATAATGTTCTTTGTATTGCAGGCATTTCTGTCTCAACAAGGTTTTTTATTTAAGCTGCCCCTTCTTTTATACAATAATGATATGCCAATTCAAAATTAACCTATGAGCCTGTTTACCAGAAAAAGTATGCAACAACCTACTACAAAGTAAACTATGTTATTAATATATGGAGCACTAGTTCTCTGTGAAAAATTCTTACATGAATAATCTCCTAAATATGAATTAACTGCATATGCAAGGTAACCCTTAACTACAGCAAGCTGCTTCTCATTGTGCCCCAAACCCAGTTCCAGATGCTTAGAATTCAAGTGTCAAACAGCAAAGCCTAGCTTGCAAGCAAACAATGCAAACATATGCACACAGGATGAATTAACATCTAGAGCTACTTATTTCTTGCGCTTGGGCATAAAGCAACCTAGATGACTACCTCATTAAACATCTAAAATTAAGTACACCAAATCCAGGTATCCAACAGAGCAGTGGAGTAGCTCGCACACCAAACTTCTTTCCCACAACTTGTCTCCTTCCATAAACGTGTCCTACCAGACCTGCTAACTAGCACTTTCTTTGCAGTGTTTGTTTTTATCTCAAACCACTGCAGCCACCAACACAGAGCATGGCCCTTCAAACAGCTACATTACTCACTCTGATAGAGCACCAAAGCAACAGCACTCTCAGGGTGTTTGCTACAAGAGAAAATGTTCATGTAATGGTACCTTGGAAGCCCAAAGTTCTGACTCAGATTAAAATTAGCTGGATGTATATTTTGCCACCCACACTTGTGTCTGCCTATCCTTCCAGAAATTCTTGCTTTCCTTTCACCAGGTAAGACCGTGGAATGTGAAACAACTGCTATATATGCAGAAACTATAATTCAGCATGTCAAGGAAAACCAGAAGCTAATACCAGCTTTCCTTAGCAGATCAAGTTGTAATTTGCATTTTCCTCACAAGCCGGTGAGCCACCTTGGCCACCAGCAGTAGGCAGCTCTGAAGACAAGGAGACAGATGTGGATAGGTGCCTCTACAGCCACTTAATTCCTGCATGTGGTTCATCAGAACTCCAAACAGTAAGACCAAGGAAAAAACAGTGGTAATCTCAGCACAGTGGTACAACCTCCAAGGGTGGCATTTCTACCAGTGGGCTGGTAAAATATGTGTCTTGACAATTATTATTACAAATACTTCTTTTGAGTAGAGAAAGCCAAAAAAAGTACGTTGGACACAAATGTATTTTTATGTAGAGCAAAAGTATCTTTTAACTGTTCTGATGACAAAAAATTGTTTTTCAAAGTTCAAAATGAACACTTCAAGGTTTATATCAACTACTGCATTGATCAGATCTCTTTTAACCCAAAATCTGACCCTGGTTAATAAACCACTAATTCAAACAAAATCTCTACTTTTATAAAAAAACTCCAAGGAATTTACTGTTCAGCTAAATAAATTATTTGAAGCACTGCCTATATGTTCTGATTTTCACAAACACTGACAGCCTTCTACTAGAACTACTTAAAAGACATTTCACGCTATTGTACCCAGCTGAGCTACTTCCAGTAAAGCACAAACAACACGCCAACATCAGCCCTAGAAACTGCTGTGAAGTAGGTCCCAAACCACAAAGCTGTGCATAAAATACAGACAGTAAATCTCATCTATAGTTAAAAATATATGTCAAATACATGAATTTAAAAAGTGGTTTTACCTATAGCTGGGTTTCAGTTTACTTATTCAGAGTTGATTGTCTGTCTCCAGCATTACTAAGGAACAGCCTGAGTGTGTTGGAATTTACTTGTGATGGGCAAGAAGATCTGGCACCACTGGACACAGAGAGGTCCCAATACAGCCACCTAGACACTGCATCCTTACTCCATAGGCTATCCTGCCTCACAGAAACTTAACAGACATATGTTCCAATAAAAACAAGTCCTAGCAGCATCTTAGGCGACACATGGCATGAAGAGTAAGACCTTTATCTACAGCCATTTCCACAGAGGACAGTCAACAGGACATCTCTGATGACACATTCAGATCTCTTCATCTTCAGGCATGAACAAAGACTACAGTTTCTCAACAGAATTCAAAACACGTTTGAAATAACTGATCTGCAAAACTGATTAGGTGTGCTACAAAGAGCACCATGAAGTACCACAGTCTGAAGGACTTCAGAGACTAGGAGTTGATTTTCCTGCGAAACCTGACGGTACTAGCAATCAGTATGTAAGAAACACTATCAGTCAGAACACTTAAAAAGCACTCTTGCTGCAACTACTGTTGCATGCAATAACTGCAGATAAAAATAATTATGAAGGCTTTGAGCCAAAAAGTTGAGTAAAGAACATTAAATGAATTTTCTTTGTTCTCCCTTACTGTTTGAAAATCTACAGCCTAAGCCAGAATGGACCAGCACAGTGTGGAAAATTTCAGTCTCTACCACCCTTGTCTGGTGACAACAAATGCTGCAGTGCAGTGAACAAAAAGCATCTGACAAATTATTTTATTTATTTATTTATTTAACACATCTTTCTTTAATTTAGTTGAGTTTCCCCTTGAATTCACAATGGAACCATGCAAAGGCAAGAACAGGGGAAGCAAGAATAAAAGGCTTAAAAGCATTTCTTTACGCAGCAGTATCAGCTCCAGAGGTTTGCCTAAGGTTTGCTAATTTCAGCGACCTTGACCTTGCAAAAAAGGCAAACTTAGTACCCTTGAGATCACACGGGGGATGATGCATTTATGCTTTAATCCCTCCCTTTTGTCAACAGTCATGCATGCACACCTGCAGAACACTGATCTAAAAATCACTGTAAGAGAACCAAAAAACCTGTAGCTGAGTAAAAACTTCACAACTACAGAAAATGCATGAATTTACAGGGCCATGATTTTTATTCCAATTGAAAGCTTAGATAGTGCTCATTAGCCAAAAATTAAGGCATCATGAAATAGTGTCAAATTGATGGTTCCAATTTTCAGAAAACAAGTGTTTTTCCAATACTGCACAGCTATTATGTGCAACACACATTGCCACTGATCATTCAAAGTACTGAGGCTACTATGGCCACAAATCAAATTAAAGCTCAAGACATCTAATTAATTTCTCTAGAGTTCTCAAACAATCATTGTTACTATTACTCAGTAAGATTGAGGAAGACTTTCTGTAAACTGGAACTTGTTTCAGATGAGTGGCAAACTGCGACAAGCTTGGCAATGCAGTGAGTTCCTCTCACTGATGCCACCTTCTGCAGAACACAGGGCCTCAGATGAGATTCCCAGGACCCTGACAAGCCAAGACCACAATGGAGACTCCATTACTTCAGTGGGCAAGCTGTTCATGGTTAACTGCTTGAATGGTGAAGAATATTTTCCTACAGCCACACAGTTCTTTCTGAAGCACCTTATTCCCATGGTCTCCCGCCCCATCACCATGGTCCCTTCTAAAGAGCACACCTCCATCTTTCTCTGTAGTTAGTTTCTCAATAATAGAAGGCTGATCAGATTGTTCCTCTTCTAGGCCAGACATATCCCATTTCTTTAGCATTTTCATATGTCAGTGGGGTAAGGTTAGTTATTTATCACTTTAACACATCTGCGTGTTATTGTAACTTTAAGGTCTAACACCAGTTAAAAGTATAGGAGGCCTAGACTTCCTCTTGCTGTCATTTAAAATAACTGAGAAAATACACTGAAACACCCAATAATTCTTAATGAATAAATTATTTGAAGCTCTGAAATCAAAATTTCACAAAATTACAGAACGGCTGGGGTTGGAAGGGACCTTTGGAGATCATCTAGTACAACCCTCTCTCTGCTAAAGCAGGTTCACCCAGAGCAAGCCGTCCAGATCATGTGCAGGCAAGTTCTGAGTAACTCAGGGAAGGAAATTCCACAACCTCTCTGGGTAGCCTGTTTCAGTGATCAGTCAACCCCACACCAAAGAAGTTTCTGCTCATATTCAGATGGACCTTCTTGTGCTTCAGTTTGTGTTTGTGGCTCTTTGTCCTGCCACTGGGTACCACTGAAGAGTCTGGCCCCATCCTCTTGCTGCTCACCCTTAAGATATTTGAATGCATTGGTAAGTTCCTCTCTCAGTCATCTCTTTTTGAGGCTGAACAGGCCCAGATCCTTCAACCTTTCCACACACAACAAATGTTCCAACCCCTTAATCATCCTTGTAGCCCTCTGCTAGCCCCTCTCCACACAGAGTCCGGTACTATCTGTGCTAGTCTTTACACGGTTCTGCCAAGTGTTTGTGCTCTCAACTGAAATAAAGCTTGATTCAGCAGGATGACCTGATCAAAGCCATTCAGCATTCTTCACAGAATGACCTGCAGAAGATGACACTGTGAAAAGCATCTGATGATTTTATTGGTTGAGCAAGATATCAAACCATCTGCATATCTCCACGTTTTTATCAGGTGAAGCTTGACAATCAAGTTATTGCTCTTCTTGTGCCTCAGATGTCACCAATTACCTTAGTGAAGACTCCAAGAACATGAGGTAAGTACATTCTAAAGTCATTACAGGGACAAATGTCCCTCTAATTTGTAACATACTTCACTAGTATTTTATCTCTTACACTAAGAAATGAAAACTTAATGTATTTCTCTTATATGAACAAGAATCTTCTGCGTGTTGACCCAGAGCAACAAAAAGCTTAAGTAACTTATTTTAAAATGGCTTCCAGGGCGGATTAAGCACTGGATTGCAAACAGATTAAAAGGATCAACAAGTCTTCCCGTGGGGATATCGGGCAGTTTACGCGAGCAGAGACTACGCCCCTGTATCAACCCGGGTTTTTTGGGGAGCCTTCTGCCGGTGGCCGGATTTACAGGGAGGCTTTTCCTTCCGGCCCCGGCAGTGCGGCTCCCTGCCCACGGCCACGGGACGCCGGGCAGCCTCTGGCAGGGATTTCCCATGGAAATGCCCGCCCGGCGGAAAGGGCGATGAGGGCGGCATCCCGGCACGGGCGTGGGGCGCCGGGCGGGACACGGCGGTGCGCGGCCCGCCCGAATCACGAGATCCCGGCCCGCTGCTACCTGCTGGTCTCCAGGGACGAGTAGCGCTCGGGCAGGATCTGGAGGCAGCGCTGGAAGAAGCGCACGTGCCGATCCCGCAGGAAGTCCAGGCGCTCCGGCTCCCCCGCGCCCGGCGCCGCCGCCATCTCCATCCCGCCGCCGCTGCCCGCGCCCGGCGCGCCCCGAGCGCGTCACCCGCGGGGCCCGCCCCGGGGCGGGGAAAGGCAACGGGGAACAGGAAACATGAGAACGGGGGAAGGGGCAAAGCGGAAGGGGAAAGGGAAGGGCCAGCGCCAGTGTGACGACCCACCCCACCCCGAGGAGGCTGTCCCACGCAGCTGTGGGGAAACTCGCTTTTAATGCCAAGGGACATCACGCCTGGCCGGTCCCACGGGTGGCACTCCCAACCCGACACTTTCGAAATACAAAGGGAATGCACGTCATGTGTCAAGCCAACTCTGTGCCGGCTCCCGAAAAGTGCTGTCTGCTGCTTCGTCTTGTGGCAAGGACAGGCTGGGGCGCAGCTACAGCCCTCCTCTCCAGGCTGGGACAGCCCTGATAACAAAGCAAAAAGGTATAAAGAGCTCGTACATTAACTGCACCTCTGTCAGGCTACACGTCCATGGCCCCCTCCTTACCTGTGAACAACGCGTAACAGTGGTTCTGAAGCTGCTGGTGCCATCTCCTCCCTACATTCTTCCAAGCCCTTGGAAGCTTTGTGCAACCCGGATCGGTCTCTGGTTACCCGAATCTCGACCTCAGAATGAAACAAATAAGCAAAAATCTTTTTCCTTGATCACAGAAGGATTTACATTGCACTCCTTGGGTCTTCATCACAGGAACGGGTGCAGACTAAACAGAGCTGGCTAGACAGAACGAGACATTTCCCTTCATACTATCCCAGGGAATGGGTGAAACATGAAATCAGTATGAGGCGCAACAACTGCTTGCTGTCACTAGATTTTAGTAATTTACAAGGTTAGATTCTTTCAACACCCAGTGTACTCAAAATGCTTCCGGAAGCCAGTCTACTTATTTAACCAATGATAGAAACCATTTCAAAAAATACAAGCCAGCCTGATATTGCAGCACTGAATGACCTATAGGCTTTACCCTGGTAAGTACTGCCACGAGATAAATAAATGCTCATCTTTTTTGGTTTTGTTTTTAAACACAAGAACAACTATGCCTGCTGCATTTTTGTCTCCTGATAACATGAATTACTTTGTTTTATCAATCATTTAGATAATTAAACACTACTGCTTTTCAGATCAATGAAAAAAAAGTTTGTTTAAACCACCAAGCTGCATACACCTCAGATTACAACAAAAATCACCTTCTCTCTCAACTTTGCCAACTTCTTTTCTTTTTCTTGCTCCTCTATTTCTTTAGCTTGTTTCTGTAAAAGCCTTAGCTCCAGTTTATGTAGATCCTGAAATATAATGAATGGAAAAGTGAACTTTTCTTTGGAAGTAAAACAAAGGATATAAAGATATATATGCAGCCTTTTCACAGGTAATTATTTTTTGGTTTGAAATTATTACCATTGTACAGGAAGTTTCACTAGGTAGCTACTTATTATGGCTTGGCCTGCACAAACAAATTATAGTTACATCCCTTTGGAAAAAAATATAGTAGTTTAAACTCTTTTTATTAAAAAACTCTAATGTGAATGCTGACAATAATATCAGTTCTCCAGTACTTGCACTTACACTGATATGGGATCCAACTTTACCTAACAGCTACTGAAAACTGCAAGGATATTCAAACATCTCTTTTTATCTCTGCATCCAACACTCAGGTCCTCTGACATTTTCTACACCATGGAGAACACCACAGCCCAAGCAATTTTTCCCATTTTTACACTGAAGTAATAAATAAAAGCACTTATATGTGTAGCAAGAAATGTGGGCTTGAGTAATCTTGTAGAATTTAGATATTGAGGAAAAGGAACATCTGTGTCTAAAATCAAGTTTCCTACTATTTCTTGTCTGCAGTAGATGCTGTTCTCATAGTGAATCAATTTATGTTATGGAATTTGGGGTTTAAAAAGTGTTTAACATTTATATATAACATATGCATAAATGAAGATGTAATTACGCACACGCTCCTGAAACCTAGAAATTTTTTCTGCAGCAATTTTCTTCCCTTCCTCCTTTTCAGCTTCCTCTCTCTTCTCATTTCCAAGCTTTTCAAGTTCCTCCTTTACTTTCTTCTGCAAGGTATTCTTTTCCAACAGTAACTTCACGTGGCATTGGCGCTCTTTTTCTTGCCTTTTCTCTGTCTCTTCTTTTAGTTTTAGTTGAGATGCTTGTTCCATTGCAAATGCTATTGCTTTCTGCTTCTTCCATGCTTCAACTGCTGCTTGTTTTCTTTTTCTTTCTTCTTCTGCTTTTTGCTTCTGAGCTTCTTCGTCCTGTCGCCATTTTTGCTTGAGCATTTTTTCTGATTTCTCTTTCTCCTTCATGTTTCTTTCTTTTTCTGCCTGCTGCTTTTCTTTCCATTTCTTAATTGACTGCAAGAGACCAGTAGGAAAAAAATCCAAGGTTTTAATGAAAATTTACATATTCATATTGATTCAATCTGATGAAAACATATATTCCCAAGACACAAACCACAGATAGGAATTAGAAGTCTACTGAAGGCAAAACTTAAGGCAAAGGAGCACCTACATATGTTTTCTCACATTTTTTTTCTATTTTATGGATCACGTGGGCAGCTGTAATAGACAGCTGCTAAACCTGTTTCAGTTACAGCAATTACAATAACTTTGGGTAGTTATGAATGTTGGTGTAACATGCTTTTTCAATACAAACATATTTCAGTTCCTATTTTTTTTCAAATTAACAATTCAACCTACTATTTCATAATAGTTCTTATGTCCGTGTATCTTTTATTACTCAGATGGATAGTTGTTGAGAGAGTCATGATTCTGTATGTCAGTCTGGCATAGGTAGATTGCCTATACAGTGGGACAGACATTCTTAGGGACAAATGTAATAGGAACTGTGATTTCAGATAGAATCACTTACTGCACTGGGATTGGCATCTAACTTGCTAGACCACTACCACCAGAAGCATTTATAACATACTTTGGTAATACACAGCCCTCTGCAGTGTGTTATTAGGTCTTATGCTTATTGGTAATTATTTATTAAAGACAAGTACTTTTGGCAAGTTGAAGATGCCAAAGACCTCATTTATACACCAACAGAAATCCACCTAGCACTACCACCAGAGAGGCAGAAACAAAAATAAGAAATGTATGCATTTTAAAAATAAGTGCTTTTTCTTAAATCTCCAAAAGCCCTAGAGGGGTTATTTTACCTCTTTCTTTCTTTCATGTAAAATTAGAAATTCTTGATACCATTTGTCATGTTGTTCAATATCTTCTTTTGTTCTTCCACCAAGATACTGAAGGGCTTCATCGATGTAAGACAGCCTTCCTCTGTACTTAGTCCGTACTTTCAGAAAATTTTGATGATCATAATCATCCCAGCCTCCTTGCCGCCCTCCTGTTCGCTGAAGAAACCTTTCAAACTCTACTACTTCTTGGGGTAGATGATTTTCCAGTCTTTTATCAACTGTAACCCTGGCTGATGGTAATTTCAAAACTTTTTCTGTTGTTAAGCTGCCTAACGCCCACAGTTCCACTTTTCTCTCAAAGAGACTGAGCTCATTAATGGTAGCTTTTTCCTCCTTCAAAAGCTGTTCATATCTGAAAAGTGACAAACACTGGAATGTAACAAAAAAATCCCGTATTCATTGTCCATTCACCAAAAATTAATTTTGGAATTGTTCAATGCCACACAAAAGCTGTTCTTCAAAGATTAAGAACTGCAGTGGTAATGGCACAGTTGTAATGATCTGATAATAAAGCACTACACAATGAGAATTAAGTTACCCTTTTACTGAAAGCACACATTCATGGCACTCACACAACTCACTCAATCCCCTCCTGACACCAGTAGAGAGAAAGGAAAATCCCCACAAACCCACTCAGAAAACAGAACAACAGTCATCAGCAAAACCCCCACAATCTAATCTCTTCTGCAGCCTTTCTCTGAAAAGTCTTTTCTTAGGCAAATGGTTGTTACATTGGAATGCTGCAGGAGCCCCTCTAAAACACAGTTTATCAGGATTCTACCGTTGATAGCTCCTGCTTTGATTTACATACCACAGGAATCACCGGCAAAAGAGTAAATCTAAAGAATAGTTTGCTGGACTAATGAGACGTTTTCATTGTGTCTTATGAAAGTACTTTTTCTTACAGCTGAAGCATGTATAAACATACATTTGCCTCTGTTCCTCTTTAAAAGCATTGATTTCATTTTCAATTTCTTCCATCATTTCCTTGAGCTTGTCAACGACTACAAGAGGAAAAGAAGAAAAAAGCATATAACTTAAGAAGGATCCAGTATTTACCAGCACTGTCCAGAAATGCAGAGACTTCCAGGACAGAGTTCTGCTTTTGTTTGTTTTATAACAGTTTATAAACAGTTTATGCAGTTAGTGATTTTGGTTTATCCCAGGCTGTAGCAATCCTATTTAGCCTGCAGGTCATTACTCCTACAAAGCTGACAAAGAAACATCAAAGTAAGACTTTGTCCTGTGCTGTCAGCGTGCTGTAGTCCTGACTTTGAGAAAGATGGTAAGACAGTTGTCCAGAGAAGATTTCTCTTGCAATGGCAGAAAAAAGTTTTAGAATCTGTTTTAAACCAGCATAAATCTTTGTGCATACATATTGAACATGTAGTTTAACGAACCTGGGTTTTGGTAAAGTTATATAATCCAAAACTCTTATTTCAGTTTTCATGCCTTGCTAGTTCTTGGTATCTTCACTCACACCTTAAGAAGATAATGATTTTTTTGGTAGATAAAATACGGAATAAATGAAGTGGGATGCATTTTATCTAGCATCACAAAGCCCTCAGCTAGTAGGAGGGCCTCAACTTAAGGTCCACATGAGGTAGTGGAGTATCAGAAGCGAATGGTTCTTTTAGTGTCCATTTCCCAAAAGTTTCAGAACATCTAAACTGAACAAGTTGTTGCAGCATTTGCTATAGAAGGACAACAACAAGCCCAACTTATGCAAGAAACCTGTCTGTAGACGAAAATGTTTTTAAATCTGTCATCGTGACTTACATTCTGGTGTAGGCTTCACATCCTTTAATTGTTGCTGAAGTCTCTTCACATTGTTTTGTATTTTTGATAGCTGCTGCAGGATTTTAGCTTCTGTTAAACAAAATAAGGTGCTGATAATTCTAACAGTTTCTTTGTCCATTAATTCCACACAAGAACAAAACCAATGAAGTATCCAAAATAAACTGGGGATTTAATCTAAGCAGAGACACAAATTGTGTTTGATCATAAGAATCTGCTGTAATATCTGTAACTGCATATAGCTGACCACATGGTCCATGTACCTCCCCACGCAGCACCAACAGATTTTAAAATCAGTAGCTCCCATTCCCAAGGGGGAGTTTGGAGAATACTGCCAATGTAGATGACAACTTCTCTAGAGTTTTGAGGGCAACTTTGACCCTAGGCCTCAAAACACTCATCTGTGAAGAGAAAGCAAACTTGGAAAGTGTATGTGAATGCACTACTTCAGCAAGATTTATTTGTTTGCTGTGTTAAATAGGGTAGAATCAATGTTTTTGTGTACTCCAAGCATGTGTGCATTAATTTGCTTTTTTACCACTTGGCTCCTCCTCAGTCCATAAATAAAATACTGAGGAGGATGAAGTTCTGGATACATCTTAGATAATAAGGAGCTCTATCTTCCATCGTAAAAGATTTGGTTTAAGAAAAGGATAAGGGATTCCTAAATGTAACAAGATGTAGCTAAGATATGACCCTACTGGTTCCTACTTAAGACAACACAAAGTGCAAAAGCACACAGACCATGCTGAAGTAAATGGAAATTTTGAGTGTTCTTGTACATGTTCTAAAAGATCATAGTCCAACAGTATGTCGCTTCCACCTAAACTGATCTCTCTGCACTACTGATTATTAAACCATTTACATTAAAGCCATTTATATTAAAGCAACAGCAGATTAAAGAAAAAAAGGCAAACAATAAATCTGAATAAAACCCCACTTACTTTCTGTTTTTCTGCTGACAGTCATGCTGCGTTCTAGATCCTCTAGTATTCTGTATTCTACCCTAAAATCACTCTTCCTATTATAAAGAAGTCCACTCTTGTCTTTTTCTATATTTGCAAGCCTAGAAAAAAAGGATGCCACACTGAGTAGGACACGAATACTCAGCAAAGTCCCAAAATTTTCCAAGGTTAGTGTGCAGCTGAAACTATGTCAACAGGACTGTCTTAGATTTTTTACAAATCCCTGGTTTGTTCCTACAACTGTTTTCAAGGAAAATCTTTCTGCAGTTACAAGACTTCACACTAAAGTAACTCAAGAACTTGAACAAGGGAAAGAATGTAATAAGGAAATCACCTTACTGACACGCAGTGGTTCACACACTGAAACAGCCTGAAATTCTATGTGTATGCTCACGATCTGGAAGCCTTATGCAAACTTTCCTTGAAAAGTGCAGGCAGACAGGCTGTATTAATACAGTGGCACACCTAGATGGAGCCCCAGCACAGACAACACTACAGAGGGACAATGAGCCACAATGGCATGCCTGGTTTCAAGCTGCTTAGGAACGTCTACATTACTTAGCAGTCAAATTTGGAGCCATAAAACAGGATCCAGGGTAATCAAGGTGAAGTCAATTCAGTCAGACAGTGTAAAGCACTGCTGTGAGACTCAAGTGCCACTGTTCACTCAGGATTCATAACTACAAAGGTCTCCTTCAACCAGGTGGCTACACCTCTATTCCTCAATCACTATTCCTCATAAAGCTCATCCATTCAAGAAGAAAATTCCCTGTTCTTTCAGCCACCAGCATAGTTGCTACCTGCACTTAGTGAAGATGTGGGGAAACAGATTTAAATCACTTCTGTGCCTGAGCTGTCTTGAACCCTCATTTTCCAGAACAGTGGCCTAAATATTTCAGATGAAGTCTTTCAGTCTTCTCTGAAGGAGTTGTTGTAATGCTGCTGCAATTCCCTTTTTGTTAGTGTGTCTTAAGGGCTTTAGTTCCTCAGAAGTGTAAGCGCAGCTGAGTAGGAAAACTGAGAACTCAATTGTGCCACACACACACACTTCCTTTTTTGTGCACCTAGAGCAGCAGTTCTTACTAAACAAGATGACCGGCCAAAGTCCAAATAGCAGTTAGAACAACAAGGCATTTTTGAGCTCGTAAGCCTATCCTGAACTGCTGTAAAAACCACAACAATTTGTCTGAGCTCCTGAAAAGGAAACCTTTGCCTGAAGATTTCATTCCTATATATTCTTATTTAAACGTTGATTTTATTGCTACCTCCAGAACACCATGAAAACATACTTATGATGAAGTGTTTAACTTACTGAGCTTTTAGCTTTTCTGCACTTCTTAAGAATTCAACTTTCTTAGCTGGCTCAGCTTTCATCTTCCAGTTCTGAAATTGCAGACCAGCACCTGCAGTGCTGGAACAGCCCTCATTCTGCAGATAACAAAATAAAGTATTATTCACAACCAGTATTTTTTTTTTTTAAATGCTCGTTCGTTAGTTTTAAGCAGACAACACCACAGTGCAGAGTGACACATCACTTCGGTTTTCCGCTGGCGCGACTCAATTAATTTCCCGCCGCACAGGTACGAAACCGGAGCGGCGAGCGACGGCGAGCCGGTGACCGCGCACAAAAAGGCGCTCGCTCGTTCAACAGGGCAATGAAACAACAACACCGCCTTGCTTTGGCAGAGGCTGCCGCCCCCAGGCCAGCCCCGCAAGCCCGCGCTGCTTCCTGCGGGTTGCTGTTCCAGGCTCATCCCTCCGCCCCCCGGCACGCCGGGAGGTCTTTACCTGCTGCTGCCCGGCGGCCGCCGCCAGCGCCGAGGCCAGCGCGGCCATCTTGCCGCCGGCTGCGCTGAGGGGAGGGGCGGCCGCGCCTTTTCCTCACACGATTTAACCCTTCCCCCCCTCCCCCCTTCCTCAGCCACCGTAGGGCTGGTGTTACTGGCCCTAGTTTCGTTTATGTCGGGACTTAAGGCTTTATATTGATTGCTTTCTTCGGGGAGAACTGGAATATGCCCTCATTATCCTGTCAGAATGTTATTCAGTAATTTTTTTTTTGGGGGGGGAGGGGGGGGGCTCTCAAGATCATGTTTTTCACTCATGTATTTACGAATCGAACTTTAAAATGAGTTGCCATTTAACGTTCCTGCGGAATAGAAATAATTAATCATTCAGTGGCTCTGCTAGCTGAAGAGATTTTAGGAACTGGTGTTTTCCCAGCTGCGGAACACAAAAGCATTCACAGATGCTGCCTGAGCGGCCTAAGCAGAAGACATTTTTTTTGCCTAATTGATGTTTTTAACAGCACTTTCCTGATACATTTTTCCTCTTGGTGTTTTTTGGCTGTACTAATATTTGTTCTCTTTGTGTTTGCTGAACAGGAATTAAAAAGTAAAAGAGAACCGTTCAAAACCTGAAAATAGTTGTCAACATAAATTAAAGAGGAGTGTTCTCACAGTTTGTTACCTGAAATGGCTTGTAAAAGTATTCTTTTCATGACAGTGCTTCCAAGTCTTCTTTGTCTTGGCCTTTACTGTTGGATGTAAGAGGAAAAAAGTCGGTAGTGTTAGTATTTGCTTTCTTTTAGTCACTGTCAGCCCTTCTAAGTTTTGTTTCTATGATCAGCAAATTGGCCACTGGACTGCTCCATTGGAAGCACCTGTTTTCAGCAAGCATTTTGGAAAGGTGTCCCCACTCATAGTATAATTCAGATACTGTTCAGTAGTTCACCAGTTTCTGGATGGGCAATCTCTATTATTATTTGCCACACCCTTTACTTGTGAGTTGCTCAGAATCCTAAGAACTTTTCATAGTTGTACTGGAAACCATTTGCAGGGATATTTCAGATAACGGAGCCGAGTTAGACTTTGTTACTTATGGCTTTGAGCACCGTGGAGTCAGACATCAAGTTGTGATGCTGGTATAAAGATGAACCTTGGCTACCAGCTCTGCCAGGACATTACTTCGTTCCCTTGGTGGAGCAGGACTCATCTCATCTAGGATATGCCTGCAGTAGGTTGACCTTGACTGGGCACCAGGTGTCCACAAAGCTGCTCTGTCACTCACTTTGCTCAGCAGAACAGGGGCAGAAATAAGATGAAAAACTCATTACTGAAGGTAAAGGCAAAGGCCTTCCTCAGAAGCAAAGAGAAGCAAAAAGCTTTATTCTCTCCTTGCTATTAGTAGGTGATATCCAGCCACTTACGAAGGAGTGTGGCCCCAGTACATATAGCAGTTCCTTTAGAAGACAAACACCTTAATAAAATATACACCACACCTTAGCTTTTATTTTTACAACATCATATGGCACAGAATGTCCCTTTGGTCCTTTTAGGACAGCTGTCCGAGCTGTGTCCCAACCTCTTGCCCACTCCAAGCCTACTGGCCTTTAGGGGAGATGTTGGGGAGAGAGCCCTGATGCTACCTCAGCACTGTTCAGCAGTAGCCAAACACTGGAGTGGTCTCAACACTGTCATGGCTATAAACACAAAGCACAGCTCTATGTGCACTGCAGCAGGGAATGTTAACTCCATGCCAGCCAGACCAAATACAATGCCACGGCTCTTGGATGGCCACTGTGCCCTTTCTGTAAACAAGTAATCTAAATCGAGAAGAAACAAGCTAGATAATTACGTAATTACCTCCTGACCTTTCCACATTCTTTCTTAGCTTAGTTTGGTCTTTGAAGGCCACGAATCCCTAACTTTTCTGTGTGTTTTGCTTCGTAAAATCTTTCAAAATTTTGCAAAAAAAATAAAGCATGGAAATACACTAAGAAAAAGATAAAACTGTTAAGATTTAAAGAACAGGAAAAAAACCCAAAAAACAGGAAAAGAGGGCATTAACCTACAAGATGCACTGCTAGCAGTAAAACAATTGATCACAGTCACTTTATTTATGGAAGAGGCCTTCTGTTGCAGCCTTGGTTCAGCAGTATTTGATATTTTCTGAAATTCTGCAAGCAAAAGAGATAAAAAGGACTGCACCAGAACTTCATATTCCCATTCATGTCATCCACCCATCTTACCAGGAGAAATAAGTATTCACTCACTGGAGTGTTGTTTTTTTTAATTGGTGCCTCTGAGACCTCATCAGGAATGCATTAGGACAGTTGTATCAAGCAAAAATACAGACACTGTTAGAGAATTAAAATCGAAGCAGTTTAAAAGAGGACAAGTAAATTAATGATCAGAAAAAATCAAAGCCTTTAACTCTCTGAGTACAACTATAAACTTATCAAGGCATTCACAACATTGTCTAGTTATCCTACACCTAATAGAAACACCCAGTTGCTGCTAACATGGGCTTTCCTTGTGTTTTTGTTTCTGAAAATGGTATGTCCACTCTATCCTTGCCTTGAATTTGCAGATCAGAATTAAATTCAAGGCATAAGTCATAATAAAAAAGAAAATATGAAAGCGAGTGCTAAAAAAAAGCTATTGCTGGTACATGGATGACATGTGCTTATTCTGGGGAACTGTAATAATAGACTGGTGAGGAGGGGCGGATGAGCAGAGTTGGGAGGGCACCTGATAGGTGCACCAGCAGTAAGTGCAATAGTGCAGATGTGAGCAAGGATCGTACAATTCTTTACTACGAAGGCAGGCTGCTTCCATCTCTTTAGCTTTTGTCCACCAGGTGTCATCTGAGAAGCACCTAGTAGCTACTAAAGGCATAGTTTTGGGTGGGGTTTTTTGTTTGTTTTGTTGTGTTGTGTTTTTTAGAAACCAACAACAAGCTTTTAGTGTCTCTATGTAGCAGAGCCTGCATCCAGCCCTTTGGCTGTCTCTGTCTCTCTTTGCAGGATGATCTGGCCACATATTGAGACCACTAGCTTCCCTTTAATTGATAAGGACAGGGTGCTCGTGGATGAGACCTGGCCTGGAGTGCTGGGAGGTCTAACAGCTTGGACAGACAAAGGTTTCTTGCTCTGCAGCTGCAGCCTAGTGTCAGTGTCCCTCAGCACCTTCTCCTGCCATTGCTTAACTTGCCCCAGAAATCGAGGAGCTCCAGACTAGATGGTGCAATTATAAAAGATTCCTTTTCTGTTTCCCAGATGAGTTCCTGTTCCACTCACCCTAACTCATTTTCGCATAAAGCTGTGCTTTAGGTATGTGCTTGGTGGCATGACGGCAAGGAATATAGGTAGCAGGAAAAATAATTAAAATAAGTTCCCTCACCTTGCCTTGCGTCCCCTCCTCTCCCCTCCCCTTCCTTCCCCTCCCTTCCCTGGTTGAAGTCTAGATTTCACACTAAAATTGAAGTAGAAGACCAAAGGGGAAATGAAAAAAAAACCTGGACAAACCCAAGAGTTCCAAATGAACAAAAGCACAAAATTTTAATGTTTTTCACTTTCTCCTGATTTATACCTATGTAAATGAAAACTGGATAATTATTCAGCTTATTAATTTTTTTTACTCCAATTCTGTTTTTCCTTTTTTTCTCCCCATTCTCTAGAACTTTTTAATGAATTTTTACATTAACTCCCATTCTTGTCTCTTTTGTAATTACATCCTTATTCATCTCCCTTTTCTGTTATAAAAGGAGGAAGAAAATGTTTCCCACAACTGTACTTGAGACAAACAAGCAAAAAGTGATTGCAGGCATGGCAGTAAACAAACAATTCCTAATGTGTTGCTGAAGCCCCAAAGGTTTTCTTGAAGATCATTTGGAATGTGATGAAGGTGCTAATTCTAAGTTCAAGTCTTAGTGTTCCAAAATACTGTCCTTAGATCTGGCAAGCAGAGGACAGAAATGTGCTCTGGCAAAATTACAGAAAATTTTAGGCTTGGCCAAATCTCAACACAGCAAAAAAAGTTGGATGCCATCCCTGGTACACATTTGTACATTCAATCAACAACCTTAGCAGCTGCTTGTGTTTGAAACTGGCACAACTCTGTAGGTCACACTACTACATCAGTCATGCTGGAGCTTTAAGGCCTTACTCAGCAGCTGTCTCTGCCACTTCTTTTTCATCATGAGTTTTTAGTTTATCAGCACCTATGCTGCTCTTCTATAACATTATTAATGCAGTCAAGTGTGAAGGACTTTCTTTTGGCTTTTCTTTGGCTTCTGCAAAAAACTGGCAGCCTGCTTTGGGCTATCAGGAGCTCTTCTTCTCCCTGCCACTTAAACGCCAAGAGTCTACTAATTCCAGCCATACTCAGCAGCTCCAAAGACCTCAGATATGTCAGAGGCAGATAAACGAGAATGTATTATCAATAAGGTTCTCTGAGGAAGCACGTCCTGCAAAGAAGAAATGGGTTCCTAGGTGCATGAGGAAAATGACTGGCTGGCAAAGCTGACCTTTACTGGAGCAAGTACAAGGATATTTGCGCACAAAAGCAAAACTGACATACACAAATAAAGGGAACCGCCTGGTCTGTCACAAGTGCAGAGCCTAGCATTGCTACAGCTGGAAGTGTTTAAGAGTTTCAGCACTGATTTCATAATAGGCACATTAAAGCTCCTAATTTTTATGATTACTTTTATTTTTCTCAGTTCTGGTTGCTACAGCTTGCTGCAGTAGCTATGAGAGTTGAGTGATTAAATTAGTAATCAGAGTTAAATTTTTAATCAGAATTAAAAAGCTACAGTTTAGAATGCTGTACTTCTACATTTTTTATTTGTAGTTACTGTAAGTCCTTATGCTTAAGCAGCTGAATGAGCATGTGTGTGACTTGGGACTGTAATTGCACAACCAGTACAGCAACACATATGTCAATCACAGTCACAATTTTTGCCTTCGTTTTTCTGGGTATATGGCTGAAAGATGCAAGACACACTCACTGCTAGTTGACATGGAAACAAGTCTTTGTGATTTAAAAAAGGAACAGATAAACAAAAAGTCCATTTACAGAAAAAAAAATTATTGTCCAAATTCAGATTAAGAAATAAACTTGAAACGAGGACAATGTTTACTATTTTCATGGCCACCATAAGGCTACCCCAGTTTCACTGGGCTATCCCAGATTTCAGTAGCATGGAGTTAAACATTGTGGGTTTCATGGGTTGACTATTGCAGTGAAAACAAGCTCGCTAGCAAGTTTTGTTCACATTCACTGGGTTTTCTTTGACCAACACCCAGTTATCAAAGAGAAGCAACTTCCAGACAATATTAAATATTGCCTCTACTTTTATACCTGGCTTCAGAACAGTTTGCTGTAAAATGTGACAGTACCAGTCTCTGCCAATATTAAGTCAAGTAAATGTTTGGGCAAAAGATAAAGTAAAATTTGGTGGGCAAAAGATAGGATCTTGGTACTATTTTAGAAGAAAGGATATGGTGAAGACCTTCAACACCTTGTCCTGTTCCCTTGCTCTTTCCTAGTATCTCTCATGTGGAGTGTACAGTTTCAAAGTCATGTTATGGTGCGATAAATACCCCTGGTTTCTGTCCTGATCATGCCCTAGTAAAGTCAGTAGGAATGTTGCTGTATGAACAAGTTGCCACCAAAAGCATTTGTGTCTAACTTGATGCATTTTGCTAAGGTTTTTGACAGGTTTTTCACCCCCTAA